GAGTGCTCTTCACTGCTGAGCCACCTCTCCAGTCCTCTAGCCATATTTCTGCATTGTGTTCCAGAGCTCATTTGTTTACTTGTTTGTTTGTCTAGAAGAGGGATAGTGCACACATGCTATGGGGGGGGGGGCATGTGCGAAGATCAGAGGACAGGTTGGAGGAGGAATTGGTTCTCTTTGTCCACTGTGTGGGTCCCAGAGTTGAATCCAGGTCATCAGGCTTGAATTCCTAAGGTGAATCCCTCATGATCTTGACATGTCAGCCTTTTAATTCACTGCTGTATTTGATTGGCTGAAATTTTTGTTCAGGACTTTTGTGTCTGTGTTAATAAGTGTGGACTGATAAATAATTTTTGTTTCATTTCAATTTTCCCATCTTACTACCAGGATGATGTTTTCCTTACAAGTTAAGTTGAGAAGTGTTGCTGCTTGCGGATCTTTCTAGTTTTTGTAAGGCTGACACTATCTCCACGATGTTTGTTGGAATCTCCCGCTGAGGCCATCTTGGTTTTTTGGGGGGGGTGGGGGGGGGTCTGAGACAGGATTTCTTTGTGTAGCCTTGGGTTTCTGAAGAGACTCGGGTGTATTCTGAATGTGTATATCTCTTCTTAGGTGGGGTTTTGGACCTAGCGTCTTCCAACAGATCTGTTCATGGGCTGGGGTCGGCTCTCTAGGTAGAGTGCTTACTTCTCAAACACGAGGCCCTGAGTTCAGAACCCCTGGAGGATCCTGGGGCCTGCTGGCCAAGCGGTTCAATGGGAGACTCTATCTTAAAAAAAAAAAAAAAAGAAAAGAGAAGTGACTGAGAAAGATGCTCCAAACTGACCTTTAACCTCCACACCAGCAGGCACACGTGCACATCTGCATCTCTGACACGAACATATAAACAAATAAATTTGTCTATGTGTCCTTACTAAAGATAATTTTTTTTCTCTCTCCCTCTCTCTTTCCCTTTCCCTCTCTCTCTCTCCCTCTCTCTTTTCCCTCTTTCTCCTGCCTTCTGTCTAAGGTTCATCTATTTTATTGATCTTTTCAAAGAGTTTTTGGGGGGCTGGTATATAACTCAGATGGTGGAGTGCTCGCCTAGCATGTATGATCTGAGTAGAATGTAAGGCTGTATGTAACACACCGCAGTGTGTGGACATTTGCAGAGGCTTCGTGGCATTAAGTACTCATACTGGGAAAATTAAATCCCAGCATCACACAAACTTGGCGTGGTGATTCACACCCTGGCACTCTGCTGTGCCAGATGAAAGACTCAAATGTACTTAACATACTGAACAATACAATTAAAAAATCTAGTAGCCAGGCAGTGCTGACACACGTCTTTAATCCCAGCACTTGGGGGGGGGCAGAGGCCGGAGGATCTCTGTGAGTTCAAGGCCACCTGGTCTACAGAGCGAGTTCCAGGACAGCCAAAGCTGTTACACAGAGAAACCCTGCCTTTAACCACCCTTCCCCCCACCCTACCCCCAAAAAAGTTTGCTGATTTTCGAGAGGCCCCAAGTTCAATTCCCAACACCCACATCAGGTGGTTCACAAGAAGCAATAACTTCAGCTTTAGGGCATTCCATCTTCTGGACCCTGTGGGCATCGCACTCACATACATGCTGTGAACACACGTGTACACACAACTAAGAAATATTTCTTGGGGCTGGAGAGATGGCTCAGTGGTTAAGAGCACTTGTTCTTGCAGAGGACTTGGGTTTTCCCCCCAGTACCCACATAGTATCTCACAACCATCTGTAACTCGAGTTCTGGGGCACCCAGTGCCCTCTTCTGACCTCTGAGAGCAAAACACTCATACACATAAAATAAAAAGAATAGCCGGGCGATGGTGGCGCACGCCTTTAATCCCAGTACTCGGGAGGCAGAGGCAGGCGGATCTCTGTGAGTTCGAGACCAGCCTGGTCTACAGAGCTAGTTCCAGGACAGGCTCCAAAGCCACAGAGAAACCCTGTCTCGAAAAACAAAAAACAAAACAAAAAAAATAAATAAATAAAAAGAATAGATCTAAAAATAAATCTTAAAACTTTAAAAATACTTAAAAAATATCTGTGTGTGTGGTCTTTGTGTATGTACATATATGCATGTACGTGTGTGTTTGTGTCGGCGAAGGACAGAGGCTGGTGTTGAGTGTCTTCCTCAATTGTTTCCCAGCTGTTTTTTGAGACAGGGTCTCTCACTGAACCTGGAGCTCATTGGCTTTGCTAGACTGACTAGCCAGAGAACCCCAGAGATTTTTGCCTGGCTCTGTCATCCTAGGACTAGAATTAGAGGAACAAACTGCCCAAGCTAGAGGTCTAAGTTCTGTCCTTAGGGCTTAGTCAGTCGATATTTTACCAACTGAGCCATCTCCCCAGCTCCCAGGGAGCAATTTTTGTTGTGTTCTTACTACATTTTTTTTTTGAGACAGGATCTCTCTGTATAGCCCTGGCTGTATTGGAACTTATGCTGTAGTGCAGGGTGGCCTAGAACTGAGAGATCTGCCTGCCTCTGCCTCCAGAGTGCTGGGAATAAAGGCGTGTGCCACCACTGCCAGACTTTACACCAATTTCAAATGCATAAAACCTTCCAATGTACTAGACTGACCAAATAATCTTGGTCAACAATTCCAGACACTGGGAAGAATGAAGAACAACGGCTTCTCTCAGACCCTCCTGGGGGAGCTAGATTGGTCACCTTCTTCAGAAAACTGAGTTTCTAACCCCTGCCCTGTAACCCAGTACTTCCTGTCTCTAAGTGGAGGTATCCATCCAAAATCACATAGGCAGAGGCCAGAGAGATGGCAAAGCAGTTAAGAACACTGACTGCTCTTCCAGAACCTGAGTTTGAGTCCTCGCACCCACTGTGGTCTCTAAGAGTCTATAACTCCAGCTCGGGGAACAAAGCCCTCTTCTGACCTCTGTAGGCACCAGGCAAGCACACAGTGCACAGATATACGTGCAAGCAAAATATACCCCACACAAGCAAAACAAACCCCCCCATTAAAAAACAGAGACAAGAATACTTCTGAGCAGATTTTTCATAGCAGTCTAGAAATAACCCAAAAGTTCACGGTGACCTGATGGATAAATAAATTGTGATGTAGCCTTTCAGTGGCCTAAGGCGCAGCGGTGAAGTGAGGGCAATTGTCGATTAGAACCACATGGAGAAACCTCAAGTCCCATATCGAGCAAATGAAGCCAACAGAAAAGAAGACAAACTCATGACTTCATTTTTGTGAAGTCCAAGGACAGACAACACTAGTCTAAGATGACAGAGTGATGTTTACTTGAAGGGTGATGACGGATGGTTGTTGATTGGAAGGGGCCACAGGTGCACCTTCTGGTAGGCTGTAGGCACCGTCTACATTGTCACTATGCTGATATGTAGTGTCCTTTATTGCATGTGCACTAGATACCGGTAAAAAGTACCGAAATGGAAAATTAAAAATAGGCATGATCATGGAAGCAAAATTTTACCTTGTTAGCTGGGCATAGTGGCAAATGTCTTTAGTTCTAGCACTTGGGAAGCAGAAGCAGGATAACCAAACACAGAGAAAATTTGCCTTGAAAAGAAAAAAAAAGCCAAACAAACAAACAAAAACTTACCTTTTTTTTTAAAAAAAAAAAAACAGACCAAGTAAGGGCCACATGAATACTCTCAGTCCTAATTTGTCATAAATTGCCACTTTGATGTACCATTCTTTCCATAATTTAAGAAGGCCATAAATGCAAAGCACACTTTTCAACTTACTCCCATTTTATAAAAGCAGAAACTGAGACCCAAAGAGAAAAGAGTTAGGTGTGGTGGTCAGCTCTGTAAGCCCAGGAGTCAGGAGGCTGAGGGAGAATTGCCTTGAGTTCACAGCCAGTCTGGGTGACTTAGTTAACTTCGGGCCAGGCCAACCTGGGCTACAGTGTGAGACTCCCACATTAAGATGTAGGAATGGGGGAGAAAGTGTGGAGTCTGAAGTCTGACAGCAAATGGCAGAGCCAGGCCTGGAACACAGGGGACTGACCTTCTAGACAAAGGCTGGCCAGAGGAGGCTGGACTGAGTCCCACTGAGTCCCATGCTGGCTGAGGATTTGTGGAGCGGCAAACTTCTGATGTGATCTTCAGCTACACAGCGTTTCAGTCCAGCCTGGGCTACTTGAGGAGGCAGGAGAAGGAGGCAGCGGAGGAGGGAAAGGAAGAAAGGGGATAAGCAACCAAAATCTGAGAGGCCAGGCTGCTGTTTGTAAACCAGACCGCTGGGAGTTGGGAGCCTGAAACTCAGGCTAGTTACAGAGAAGTTGGAGCCACTGTTTGGACCTCAAAGTAAATTCTTTAAAAGGTTCAGAATTACAGGGTTAAAAATGCAGAGAAGTCTCTGGAGTTGGTGTGGTTGAGTAAAGCTTCTAGGTTCTCTCTTTGACCTTGGCCAAGGTCGTTTCCTCTGATGGTACTGTTTGTTCAGTAGCAAAGAACTCCTCTTATGGACCTGGAACAAAAAAATTTCCAAGAGTGGGCAGATGTTTAGCCCGGTGTCTGCTTGCTTGGAGGGTGGGTAGTCTCTAGCTGGTTGGAAGGCGCTGCTACAGGCCGGGGTGGGAGGATGGGAGGTGTGGTGGGGGAAGGGCAGAGGAGGATCCTACTCCCAGACTCTGTCCTAAAGGGCAATCTGTCTCCTCCCGCCCAAGGTCTGCACTTTCTCTTCCTTCCTCGGACCTTGCCCCTCCCTCTCACATTCCCAACTTCCAAGGACAACTTGTCGCTGGCTTCAGACGGACCGCTCGCTCCGCCTGAGGCTCCCGGCTCGGCTGCTTTTTAAACTAGGTTCCTTTTGTCTATTTCTGCACTTGACAATTTCTCCCTGAACTAACTTGAATCTATTTTTCTTGTCTGTTATAGTCTCTCTCTCTCTCTCTCTCTCTCTCTCTCTCTCTCTCTCTCTCTCTCTCTCACACACACACACACACACACACGCACGCACACGCGCACACACAGAGATACACACATATACACACAATGCTCTCTTTCACACACACACACACACACACACACACACACACACACACACATCCTCTTCTTTCTCGAAGCCTTCTCTGCGTTTTCTTGCTGGCTCTGGCCTGTCCTTGGCACCTCCCAGCCACCCGCTGATCCGACGGCACCCAGGGCGGTGCAGTCTACTCCGGGGAAGGAGGCTCCGGGATGATCCCCGCGGCCCCGCGCCCGGCGGCGCCACGGAGACGTTGGATGCTCCTGAGCCCCCAGCGCCTTCGGCGCCACCGCCACTGATGCACCGTTCACGAGGCCTCAAAAGGGCGGTGGCGGTGGCCCGGGACCGACTCTCGGATGGCCCAAAGCCGACGCTCGGGTAGCCTGAGGCTATCCTTAGTCCCCAGACACCTTAGGGCCCCCGCATCCTTTGGAGACGCTCGGAGAACGGAAGAACCGCGCGTTCCGAGAGGTAGGTGACACGGTCCCCGCCCTTGCGCTCATCAGGGGCAGGACCGCGCGCGGAGGAGAGCCAGGAGTGGAAAGGCCCTCTTCGGCCTGTGATCTGGTGGCACAAACTTCGATCACCGACCGCTAGTGACCAGCGCGGGCGACCTCGCGACCACAGATTAACCTTGAGCTCTAGACCAACCTAAGTGACCTGTGAGACTTCAAGGACGCGCTGAACCGCCTGGGCCTCCCCACTCTCTGGCCCAACTATCCCTCGGCAACGCGGGTGTGTGGGCCCAGGGTCCCCTCCCCTCGTCCCACCGCATCTCCATCTACTCTCACAAGCTTGGACCTAAGGCGACAGGGGTGATCTGTCCTAAACGGCCTCCCTGTGGAAATTGCTTAGGAAAAAAAAATGGCCATTCCCTATACGATAAAAAATGAAACCCTTCTGTGTGGGTTGCGGGGGGGGGGAGCCCCGAGGTGCAGAGTTAGCGTGCACTCTCTCTAGACGCCCCCCTGGAATGAATGGAAGAAATCTGGGAACAGAGGGGTTCTTGTTTCGGTTTTTTTTTTTTTTTTTTTTTTTTTTTTTTTTTTTTTTTTGAGGGACTAGGAGAAGATCTAGGTCCCTTTGCTTCCGAACTGCGGGCTTTAGTGAGACTCGGGTGGCCTCCTGCCTTGGAGAGCAGGGATCTAGACGCCGCCATCTTACTTAAAGCTCACACCACAGAAACACTGCGTGTGCGTGAGGGTTTTTTTTTTTTTTTAAATAGAAGGACTTGTCGTTTACTGGAGTGGGCACAAGGTTCGAGGAGGATTGCAGTCTATAGGTATGGTTTGTGGGATCAATACCAAAACCATTGTAAGTTCGAGAAGGCATGTAGAGAGAAAGCGTAGAGAGGCTGTGCACCCACGGGGTCGTGTGGCGTCTTTGAGGGAGTCACTACACTTGCAGGAGTTAGGAATTCCATAAGACAACAAGCTACCCATTTCAAAATAAAAAGCAGGATTTGTCCAAACACGACAAAGAGACGTGAAACCACATGCTCCCTGTTATGTTGTGCTAAGTAACCAAAGTATCGGTCGCGAAAACCTGGGTTTACCTAAGTACCTCCCCTTTCCCCAAATAGGACAGTTTACAATGTATTTCACACGTGTGCTCTGCGCTACACGTGGTAGCATGCTGCCCCGGGCTGGGCTTTCCAGAAGAAACAGAATCAAAGACGAATAACGGAGGATCTGGGCTTCCCAAGCGCCAGGTTCCTACATTTGAACGCACTTTTACTCCTTCCAGGAAAGAAAGACTTTTCCTGATATTCTTTCAAAATCTTCCTGGGATCCTGGGACCAATGTGCCTGCCTCTTCTTGCACTTGGTTCCAAGTCCAGAGACAAACCAGCAGGGATCAAATGAAGCTTCCTCCATGGCCTGTTATATTGCTTTGAGTCCCCCACTCCTTAGGAGAGTCCAGTACTTTGCCTACATTAGAAAACACACACACACACACACACACACACACACACACACACACACACACACGAGTCTTAGAAAGAACCTACCTCTACTATTCTATAGTTTGCAACATGGTCCTTCTACTAATTATAGCTGCCCCTCCCTTCCTTTCACCTCAGAAGGCACTGGTCTCATGTAAGGAGTGACTTTGGGGGCTGAGAACCTAGTATCAGACACAACTTAATAAAACATTGGATTTCAAATGCTACTGGATTAGGGAGTTTGTTGTAATCCATGGGATTCTCCTCCCAGATTTCCTCTTCTCTTTCCCTCCCTCCCTGATTTTGTGTGTTTCCCTTCTAATATAGAGAAACTGAAAATGCGTGGCCTTTCCTGGCTTGGTGAAAGGGATAGAGAGGGAAAGGAAAGGCTGTGTGACCCGTGCAGGCAGCAACCTGAGAGATGCCACAGGTGAAGAAGACCCTGCCCTCCCAGACTTAGAAATTATTTGATTCTACAACCCCTCTCCCAAGGGCGAGCAGCATCTCGTTCCTCATGAGGAATAAGGATCACAGTTTCTGCAGTTTTCAAAACTGGGAGAAAAAAATTGTAGGTATTCAGGTAGCCCAATGTAGTCTACAGTTTGGACAAGAGATCTGGGCAGACAGAAAAAGGCATCCTGCATGACTGGGTGGAGCGGTGGGGGTGAGGAGTGTGGAAAGAATCCCATGTGAGACAGGGCCTGGGGGCCCACATGCTTGTTCTGCCTAGCTATTCCAATGGTCCTCAGTCCCCAAACCCACTTTAAACGATAAATCATAAACACTGGGGATTATATATCCACACTCGTGATCTGTTTACATGCCCAGACTCCTCCTGAGAGCGCTGAGGGAGAATGGGTGTCCTTGGCTGTCTTGCAACTTTCCATTCGATTTGGCATCCTAGAGGGGGCCCACTTGAGCTTCCAAGCCTGGGGGTCTCAGGACTAGAGTCTAAGGAACTAAACCACATGGCTACAACCTCTCATTTCTCTTCCCCATACCCTATCTCCTGCTTCCCCACCCGGGCTTTCTCAGAAGTGAAGCTTTCTTTGTAAAATCGTGAAATCCCATATTGTCAGAGAGTTTCTGATTCCTTGAACTTCAGCTTAAGAGCCCCTCTCTGAACTGCTGAAGGCAGAGTGTGTCTAGGAATATGGGACCACACATGGTTAATGGCTGTAGCTCTTCACTACCCCACCCCACTCTTTTCGGTGGGAGTTCTGTGCCTAACCAGGTCACCTTTAGGTACTGTGTCCCACCGGTAATCAAAGGACAAAACACCCAGTGCCAAAAATTTAGGTCTGGAATTCCAGTGCCCTCTTTCTCAGGAAGATGTCAATTGGCTGTTTCCCCCTTTCCATTCTCCCCTCTCTCTCTCTCTCCAGCCACATTTATTAGGAGAGCTTTTCCCTGGCGGGGGCAATTAAGCACTGGCTTGGGGCTGGTCTAAGTCTCTCCTGTCTCCTTGTCTTCCTCTTAGGAAGCACTTTCGGACTCCTATTTGTCCCAGTCTCTGCTGCCCTGGAGAAAGGAGGGGGTCTTAGCCTAAAACACCCACATATTAGGTGATGACGAAAGAAAAATGGGTTCAAGCCAGTGTGGGCTTCAGAGGGAGAGAGACATTTTGTAAAAAGCCTCTCAAAGGTAAAGTTAGCCCTTGGCTTGTAGCCAGGGTGGCGCTGAAGACTGGCGGGATACTTAGGAACTCCTTCATGAAGACAGAAGTCTGTGGTTATATATTTCACTTTTAAAAGACGGTTAAAGTGGAGACCTTTCCAGTTTCTATACTTACCTCTTCTTCAGTCTGGTCCTTCCTTGGTCCAGGGACTCCAAGGTTAGCTAGAGGGATCAGAAGTCCCAGCAGCAATTTTTTCTCTCCTGGGCTGGGCAAGAAGAGAAGTCTCTTTTTATGCTTTTCTTCCTTGGCTCCTGGTGGTACCAGGTATCCCTGGAGTTAGGTTATGAAGGGGATGGAGGTCTTGGCATCTCTCCCCAGACTCCGGTGCCTGCTGCTAGCCAATGCACACTCCCGACAGCCAGACACCCTTGGGGCTCAGCATCTTCGGCAACTTCACTTTGGGCTAAATTGCGGTGCTATCCTTCGGTTCTGCAACTGTGGTGGTGATGGTTGGGGAGGCAGGACAGAAAGGCCACTAGACAGAGAGGTGGCCAAGCATGTGAGCTGCATTCTCAGAGTCAGGAGAAGGGCTGGTGGGTCACTTTGCAATTGTGCTCTTAGTTGGCCACCACCATCGCGGATGAAATCTGAAAGTCAGAGAAGGGTCTAGACGGGAGCCCCAACAACCCGAAGCTGGGAACAAGCATTGACATCAGGAAGTCATATTTAAGGGGTGAAGAGAGGTCTCAATTACACAGATGCTTTCCTCAAATGCTGCAATGCCAACGGCCTGCAGACGAACCTCTATCTCTGCCCTCCGGGACCAGAGGAGATGCAAGCGCTTGGGGAGGCTCTGTACAGATTTCAGGCAGACTAGAAACTCTGACTCAGTGCCAAGTAGGACCTCACAGCTTGATGACCCAGCAATCTTGAGAACCAGGGCCTCCGCTCCCAGGCTCCCTTAAAAAAAAAAAAAAAAAAAAAAAAAACCGAGAGAGCGCCTGGATCTCAGCTCTGCTGAATGAATACTTCTCCGCCCTTAGGAACAATTCACTTGCATCTCTCCAGGCCAGAGGTGCGTGTAGGAACTCCCCGGGGGCCCGTCCCATTTCCCAGCTCTGGGGTTCTTTTTTCATATGCCACCTTCATTAACAAACACTCTTGCAAAACCCCACTAGGTACCTAGCAGAGGGTAGAGGGCCACTCCCATCATCTGGAGTTTGCCGAATAATCAGAGAACATTAAGGAGCCGGAGGAGTTGTAACTTGTAACGGGGTGGTTTTGGACCGTGGGGGCGCTGATGATGCAATTGACCTCTGGGCCCTTAACAGAACCGCATTTCTGTTAAGCGCCGCCTCTGGGCTCCTATCAGAATCAGGGCTTTGGTCACTTTAGCTGTCCATAGCTTTCAAACTCTCTGCTCCTGTCCAGCGCTTCTTCTTCCTCTTCTTTCTCTTTCTCTGACCGTCCTTGAGTAGCGTTTCATTTGGTTTTATCATCAACCTGTCAAGGACCAAAATAACTCATTTTGGTCACGATCATGAGAAGCACCACACTGGCTGTCTAGGTTCAAGGGTTTCAAATTTATCTCCTTTGACCTAGCCCTAAAGTGTGGGGGCTGAAAAATTCCCTGTGGAGCGAACTACACCCTCAAGAGGAGGACATTTTCAGGGGGAAATAGTTTCAGAAACTTTCTCCTAGGATTAACTCAAGACAAGGCAGTAAATGGCAGAGAGTCCTTTTGGAAGAAAACCCCACAAACCTTCGGTTAGAGACACAAAGACCACAGGCTGTGCATACCCCATCATGAGGCAAGTGTGCAAAAAACAGGGTGCTGTAGGTTGCTTTGCCTCTGTCCTAGAACTTTCAGCACCTGTGAGCAGGTGCAGGGAAGGCCAGGCGATGGTACCCACATTTTGTTCCCTTTTAATTGGCTTTTCCAAGTCAGTTTCACCGTCCTCCTCTGATTCGGTTTTGGTGGCTCCTGTGTGAACAGCAAGGGAAGGGCTCTTACCGTTTTAGGGGCCACTCACTGATACTTTAAAGTTTGATAAAAGACATTGGCTCCCCCACTGCCCTGTGTTTATATAGCGCTCATCAGATCCCACAGCTCCGGAGGGTTTTAGAACGACTCCATTCCCAGGTTAAGAGCTGTGTGGATGAGCCAGTCTCTGGGCAATGCTGAAACCAAATATGGTCAGTCTATGCAAGCTTCACTTCTTTCTCTTTGGCTGACAATCTCATCTTTGCCAGATCAGCTTTGAAAAGATTCGGGGCTCTGGCATAGTGGCCCATATCTTTAATTCTAGCATTTGGGAGGCAGGTGGATCTCTGTGAGTTCAAGACCAGCCTGGTCTACATAGTGAGTTCAAAAGCAGACAGAGCTCCATAGTGAGATCCTGTCTTGAAAACAACAGCAACAACAAAAACAAAATAGCAGTTGTGTCTGGACTCCCAGGGGAAGCCAGCCTTCCTTCCCTGGGACCAGTGGGACTGAGGCAGTAGGAAAACTTTCCTTGATCTTGGACTGGCTAGAGGCCAGACAGATCAGTTGCTCAGGGGAGGAAAAAAAAAAAAACCCTACTGGAACTCTGGAAAGGGAAAGCATTCCAGAAACCATCTCCTAGCTGATACCCTGAACTGGAAAACAGGTGTCCTTGGCAACAGAATGTCCCTTTGTGTCTCTTTACTGATCTATCCACCCAGTTCCATCAGGGCCCTAACTCTTCCTGGGATTGAAGCTATGAGCTGAGGTTGGGGAATATCAAACTTGGCTAAAAGAAAAAAAGATTTGCAAATAATATATTTTTCCTCTGGTACTGGGAATTGATCTTAGAGTCTTGTGTATATTAGGCAAGCACTCTGTTACAAAGCTATAGCCCAGCCTGCTCATAAATACTTTTGTTAACTTGTGTGTATGGTTGACAAACAAGCAACCTCTGACATTCCCTAGGGGACCTCCCAGCTTTCCCTCATGTCTTTCCGTGCTGTGGTTTGTTTCAATTTCATCTTCTCCTTTAGCTTAGGAAAATCATCCTTGCCCCCATCCTACCTGGTTAAATCAACCCGCCTAGACTCCCCCAGAAGAAATGTCAGGCCTCCTTAGAACCTTGGGAGCCAACAAACTTCTCCACCCTCCCCGCCCCTCCCCACCAGGACTATGTTCAAACATGTTTAAAGAAATGACAGGGTGTGGAGATCACCTGTTTTATTGTGCCTTCTCCCTCCACACACACTTATGCAACTAGCCCACATCCTTCCTGACTGTTCTCCATTTTCTGTGTGTTTCAAACAGATGTGACTTGGGGTGAGGAGGACGCTGACCCATTCTTAGTTCTGCTCCTTGAGGCTGCCAAACCCGGCAGCTCTCGTGTGGTGAGAAAGCAAGGGCTAACTACTAGCTAATAGCATTCAAACCCCTGCCTGAAGATGAAAAGAAAAAGATAAGCAATTTTCTGCTTGGGACAGCTTAAACTGAATAATCGTGACTGTGACAGCCTGACCTAAATGTCTTTAATCAGAGCAGAAGAAATATATGCCCATTCGCTCCCCACTTCACTAATTGAGAAAAGCTAATTGGTGTTTTCAGGAACTTCCGACTGAGGGTCAGAGCCTCTAGTCATCTTTTCACCCCTCTTTGCCCCACCCCTCCCCCAAAGGACTGTCCCCCACCGTGGAGTTGGCCTCTTTCTCAGAGACAATGGGAGGGGCCACTCCAGACCCTCTGCTCTGCCCGCCTTTGCGCCAGAACTTCGGCCCTGAAAAGGACTTGCAGTGATTGGCCAGAAGTTCTTGCCCAGCAGGCTTGCTCCCTTTCGCAGGTCCCTAGACTTGTTTCTGAGAGCCAAGACCTCTCACCGGCTGCCAGGTCAGCACTGCCCCAAATTGGTGGAGCGTGGCTCCCACTGGGCACGTGGGAGGAGCTCAGTAAATGGTGCTCTGGTGTGGAATAAAGCCCCCCACCAGGCAGAAGTCTCCCCCTAGTTGGAGGGTTTCCCCGGCAGGTGTGAGGCTGAGTTCTTTCTCAAGCACTTTTCACATGCTCTGTTTCACCTCAGCCTTCAGCCCCCCTGAATATTTTTCCCATTCATTTTCTATGGCAGGACCCTGCTCACCTCAGCAAAGGCAAAGAACTCATCTTGAAACTCTCCAGACCCCCCCCACACACACACCTCATGAGGTCCAGATACTTCAGGCTACTGGGAGTTTGAACCTGAAATGAGCCAGATAATTGCCCCAATTCGCTGTTCCTTATTGAAGAGGTAGTTTACGGGCTGTGAGGTTCAAAGGGCCTCACTTTTATGGACACAGCTCTAAGTCAAAAGAATACATTACACACAGACAGGCTGAGGCTCACGCCCTCCAACCTAGACTGGTTCTCCGAGAACAAAGGAGACTTCCTCTTCCTCCTCTCTTTCTCTTCCTTGCTATTAGTATTCTCTAAAATGTTCCCTGTTCAGCAGGCATTATATTAAATCCTAGGCCCACAGTAATGGATTATTATAACAATCTCAAACGCTAAGGCATCCAGCTTTTTTGTAGCTGCATAAAGAAAGATATTTTCCAGTCAGGAAGTGTGTTGTGCATGTGTGTGTATATATGTGTGTGCGTGCGTGCACGCGTGTGTGAGAGAGACAGAAAGAGACAGAGACAGACAGAGACAGGTACATAGAGACAGAAAGAGAGAGAGAGGGAGGGAGGGAGAGAGAGAGAGAGAGAGAGAGAGAGAGAGAGAGAGAGAGAGAGAGATTGATTATCCTGGCAAATCATAATGTTCCAAGATATAATCTATAACAGGATGGAAATAAAACTAAGGATGAGGAGACCTTCAAGCTTTGAAATACAGACTATTTTACTAGAAGGCAGATAGCTTCCCCTGCCCTGAAATGAACAAAGAAGTGTGGCAATTAGCTGGCTAATTCCACGACCCAAATGCTTTCCCTTGAAATGGGCGGATAATGAGGCCCGCAGTATGTTCGCAGTTGAATTCGCCTGATGTCGCTCCATTTCCCTCCCTAACTTTTGCAAATCCATTGGGCAATCACAGTGAGACGCGCAGACGCCAGACGCTGCACGTGGACGCGTGCGCACTCACGCACTCACACACAGGAATGCTGACACACACAGACCCGACTTTATTCTGCCTCCAGAGTCTTTTATGACTCAGCCTTGGGAATGAAAATAGGGTTTAGAGAGAAATAATGTGCCCGAGGCCGGGTGGGGCGCAGCTGTTCCAGATGTGAGCTGGGTAATTAGACGTCCAGGAGATCTGGTGCCCGGCTGGGAAACGTGCGTCCCCTGGGACTAGAGACCTCTGCAGGCACTAGGCCGCGGTCTGTCCCATAGTTGGCTCTTGTCATTTGCTGCCCGGTCCAGGGACTTCTTCACTCCTCTCTGCAGGGATTCTCTGGTCTCTGCCTTAGAAATAACTTCGGCAGATGGTCCCAAAAAAATGGAGACTCTGTCGCCAGGAAAGAGAATAGAAGGTTTGATGTTTTCTGCCCCACAGTTCTCAGGTCTGTTTAGGACCTGAGCTCAGGTTCACAGAGTCGGAGATCCGCTTAAGGCTCCCTTTGCCCAACTAGAACTTATACAGTTACTGGTTCTAACTACAAAAGCTCTCTGGCTTTGGTGTGTGTGGAACCTTAAGGCGTCTGACACCTTCCTTTAGTTTCATAACGTTTTCAATCTCCACTTCCCTGTCCAGTGAGTCTTTTTCTTTTGGGCTCTTGATCTAATATCACTCAGCCAGGAAGGTTAGAAATTGGTTATTTTCTGGGAGGAAGGGGTTGGGTTTGACTTGGCGCTGATTTTTTATTTTTTCTCAAGCCATGTTTTTTCTGTGTAGCCTTGGCTGCCCTAGAACTCTTTCTGTAGACCAGGCTGTCCTCGAACTCACAGAGATCCGCCTGCCTCTGCCTACTGTGTGCTGGGATTAAAGGCACCACCAACCACCCAGCATGGCTCTGAGTCTTTGTTGAGCTTCCCCTGCCTTCACTTTCAATGTTCCAATGGATTGAACCAAGTCTGAAACCCAGGAAACCCCAAATTTGCAACAAAGACAATCTCTGAAGGTTGTAGTTCTGTAAATGAACAGAATTATGCTTTAAAAAAAAAAAAGCCACTACGTTTGTTGAAGAGAATGGTGGTTATTTGGAATAGAACATTCACTTTGGAGTAGAGGGCACGTTCTCCAGACTTGTTCGATTATTTTTAATTTTTGCTCACATCTTGGCCTTACTACTTAATTTCTCCAGACATGGGGGTGGGGTGGGGCTTCTTTTGCTAGTTGGGGGAGGAAATTAAAGATGCTGGCGCTGGGCTGTTGCGGGCTGCAGGGAAGATCAAAGGAGATTCCGCTGTGGCAGGCTCTCCAGCGTCGCGGAGCAGTGTAGGGTGGGGGCTGGGGAACTGGTGGAGCCTTTCTTAGCTGTCCAATCCTTTCCCAGCGAGCACTCTTTAATCTTGTTTCTCTTGCTTGGCAGAGGGCGCCAAAGGCGACGCGCTGGCGGCCAGCTCCAAGCCAACCAGGCCCGTAGCGTCCGCAGGAACCTGTCCCTTCTCCCCTAGGACTGGAGGCAGAGCTTCGGAGAGGATCTGTCTGCGCGCGCGAGCGCGGATTCAACGCCAGGGCGCCGCCTAGAGGTCGGTCGGGTCCTCGGTTTCTCTCACTAAAGAGTTGCTTGTCCAAGCCACATGGCCAGACGTGCAGAAACAAAACAAAACAAAATTCCAGCTTGGGTCAGGGACTTGGCTTCTGGCACCTTTGACTTGTCAGAAACTGCCCCGTATGGAACCTCAGGAAGAGGAAGGGGCCAGAGATTTCTAAGAAGTATTTATCCTCGTGACTCTCAGGGAAAGAGTTTCAACATGTCAGTTCCTTTTAAGGATCTTAGATTCTGTATCTATGTCTACACTGCTTCTCACTACACACATCGCCCAGCCTTGCCTCCTTCTCCCGTTCACAATAGGACTCTGCTTTAACTTCCAGAAGAAAAAGGGGCTATGGAAAAGTTACCCTTGCCTCTTATAGCTTGACGATAGGATTTCTAAATAATTTGGAGACGGATGTGTTTTGGGAAACAACTGAGGGCTAATAAGAAGAAATGCCCAAGTAGCCTTACTTTACTTAGTCGCGCCTCCCCTAGTATCCCAGCAACAGTGTGTGTGGCAGGGGACTTGAAAGGCACCAGTATCCCTCCCCGCCACAGTCATCCCTGACCAGGCAGCTCCTTTGGAGATGGAAAAATAATAGGTCAGAGTGGCCTGAGAACCATTGGCCTCCCTGTCCTCTTCCTCCTTCCTCTGTGTCTTCTAGAGAGGGAGAGGCTAATGTAAGTCATGGCGGCTGACACAGGGACTTTTAATAGAAATGGAAGATGACGAGGGCTGAAACATAGTGGGGTACAGATGAGTGGAGCTGGAGGGGTCTCTCCATGTCATTTTGAGAAAACAAATATTCCATAGATGCAGGAACTTCCTGTCCCAGATGATCCTCCCTCCCTCTCGGTGCCAGGAAGCCCCACAGGGCAGACCACCACTCTGCTGTTCACCCCTGGCCAACCTGGGATAGAATGAGGCAGCCAATTCAGCTGTTCAGATTTAAAAAAAAAAAAAGATGGCAAATGATTTGGTATTTCCTGAGCCCATTTTTCAAATTTTATTTAAAAAGAAAATCTCCAGCGGTGCTCTGGCAACATTTCCTGGAGGGAGGAAATGAGTTGGCTAGGTCAGAGCTGCACCTGTGTGTCTGTGGGGCAGGATACCCCTCCTGGGCCTGCAGCCGAGCCTCAGCCCAGTACCTGAGCAGAGCCCAAGGTAATCACAGCCTTTCAAGTATATTTTGGACCTGAAGCGTTGGTGTTTGTTGATGAATAATTGGGATGCATGGAATCCCTTTGCTGTACCCCTAAATTCCCTATCCATGTACTCTGGGTAGACAAAGAGGGTAAGAAGCCACTACTGTGACTTCCAATACTCTGGGGCCCCTGGAGAAAGGGATTTTTTTTTCCAGCTAGTTTTGCTGCAGGGCCTTGCTACCAAATCCGGATTCCACGAAATTTTGAAAAAAGCAAACTCTATATCACAGAAAGAGCATTGACAAGTTGGGGTTCATTTACTGGTTGTTTTGATTTGGTTTTGAAGCTTTTAAAAGAGTAGTGGAAGAGAGAAGCAAGCGCTGGAACTCGGTGGAGACCAGACACCACTGCGAGCTGTCAACTTCTGCTCTCTACACAGGGCAATGAGGTCCCCGCAGATTTCTCCCCTGGAACCCCTCACTGCTCAGTCCCCTTCAGGCCTTGAGAGTTTTCCAAGTCTTATCCCCTGTCCTATTTTAGCAAGTACTTGGTAATAAACGGGCGGGGCAGGGCAGGGCAAAGTTCTAGAAACCAGAGAGCAGAAAACCCCTAAAACCCGCATCAAGCAGACAGACAGTCCAGGGAGTGACAGGGGACTAGGCTGGTTTGGAGGAGTTCAGGGCGCCCAGCTCAGCCTAGGCAGGTTGCTAGGAGCCGCAGCCAGAGCCCTTGACTGGGCTCTGGGCTCTAGCGGCCCTGGTTGGTTTAGGCGTTGGCTTCCAGTCCTGGCCACCGGCTAGAGCGAAGGGCACCGAGACCCGGAAGCCTTCTCTCCACGCGAACAGAGTCTGTGCAAGCTCCTTCGCCTCATAAATTGTTTCCCTTCCCTTTTATCCGCCCCTGGCCGTGTTTCTTTTTAGGACAGAGGGGATATAAACTGTTTGAAGTTCATCAGCACGGTGAAGTTTTATTGTATTTCCGGTCCCCAAGATTTACGCCCCCGGAGGAGAAGCCGGCAGCCAGGCAGACTCCCTCCTTACCTCCGACTTCCACTCCGGACACGATAGCCACGAGGCTGCCACTCGCCTGCGGGTGCAGGGAGGGAGCGAGCCCGTTCCAGCCGGCTCGTTCCCACGCCCGGTGCGGGGGGGGGACCCCCTCACCGGCTCAGGTAAGTCTCCAGGAGGCCTCTGACAGCCTGGCATCAGCTGCGGGGGCACCTGTGAGGGTGTGCATTGTGGGACGGAGGAAAGTCGGGGACAAGGATGTAAGTGCAGAATAGAGAACAAAAAAGAAGCAAACTTGTTCTCCGCCTTCCCAAGCCAGGTCCTCAACATCTCCCTTCGTTGTAAGCGCAGATTTAAAGAGTGTCCTACCTGGGGCTGGTAAGTCCTGTGGAGCCAGAGTCCTAGCGTGTAGCCGCAGAGCAACTGTTCCAACCAGACTCCTGCCCCCTTCCAGCCTACTACCGTTTGTGCCCTAGAATTCCCGATACTCTCTGACTCTGGCTTTCTCTGTCTCTTTTTTTTCCCCCAGTTCTTCTTGGATCTTCTGTCCTGTCTACTCTCAAGGCTGGGGTTGGTGTACAGTTGGAAGAATTGACCTTTCAGAGATGCCTGGGAGTCTGGGTAACCCTGGGGCCCAGGGACTGGCCAGATGGTGAGTGGATGCGAACCTTCCTAGCAGTTTGAAGTTAAGAATCCCTTTTATATGAGGAGCCCTCCAGCCGCGGGTCTGCGCTGAGAGGCCAAGCAGGTATCGCACAAAGATGCTGGCTGGCCAGGCTAAGAGCTGGGCCCAGAGCCTTCTTTGGTCAGGGTTCTGGAAGGAGAACCAAAGTTCCTGGAATCCTGGGTCCAGTTCTTCAGATTCTTTGTTTGCTAGCAAGTGGGCTCTGTTAGGAAGAAGCAGAAGAAAACCAGTAGAAGTAAACTCTGTGGCCACTCTGGCCCACAGGAGGGCCTCAGGAGCCCGCCCCAGTGAGCCCTTGACTGGGAGCTTGAACTGGGACTGCTGAGTGAATTAGGTAGTTTCATGTTGTTGGGCCTGGCTTTCTGAACACAACGACATCCAACCACCTGATTCACGGCAGTTACTGCTTCTCGCTTAGCTGGAGGAGTCAGGTAGGGTCTTTCGGGACTGGCCTGCTACCTTTGCAAAATAATAAACAGGTTTGAGGTCCCTTGTCTGGGAATGTCCCTCATGAAGAAACCTGGGGGAGTCCTAGGGTGTCTTAGAGAGAGAAAGAAAGAGAGAGAGAGAGAGAGAGAGAGAGAGAGAGGAAGAGGAGAAAAAGGTAACCCTGTAAGTATTCTCTTCAAGGACACCTTTAGGAGGGGGCAGGGCTGAACTCTTTTGAAAAGTCAGGTATGGGAGCCAGGGTTTCAAGTTGTAGGCTCCTGTGTCTCCAGTCAAACCTTCCCTGGAATGTTTCTCAGCTGCATGGATTTGGTTTTCAATTGGGGCCTCGGAGTCTTTGTAATCTTTGGGTGATGGGGGCTGTACCTCGGCAAAACTTTGAAGCTTCTCTAAGGGGCCACTAGTTCCCAACCTGATAGATAGATAGATCAGGATTATTTGCGTCTCAAGCTTGCAGGCCCCCTGAGTCCCTCCTCCTAGGGCCCTCTAGTGGGATAGAACTTACAGAGGCAGTGGTGATGGTAATGGTGGTGATGGGGGTCTTTTCTTTCCCAAACTCTAGTTGGCCCTTTACTGGCTGAACTGGCCTTGTGGATTCACACAAGTCCTGGGGCCCCTTGGGCTTAACTAGCAAGAAAATCTAAGCTACTCGATTATTCAGTACAGCCTGGTGACAGGCGGTGGGGCTGGAGCCCGGACAGGGCAAGGCAGTTTTGTCCTCTCTGACCCCAGCCCTTCAAGGCTGCTGCTGGCTCCGTGCCCAGGAAAGGGGTTCCTAGGAGGGCTGGTGGAAGGGGGACTTGCCAATGCATAGGCTGACTTTTGTTCCTAAACTCTTTCCCTGCTTGAGGCAGAGGAAATGTGCAAAGGGGCCCAGGAAAGAGGTCCCAACCGGATGGGACTCAGGCGCCAGGCTTATTTAGACTGTAAAGGAGGGTGGGGTGGGGGTGAATAAGAGGCCTCTGCAAGGGCAGACAGTACAGGGAGACCCACTCCCAGATTAGGGGATATTCTGGCTTCAAGTCACTGTCCTGATAAGGAAAGACCCTAAACCCTTTCCTTTAATATTTTCTCATATTCCCTGTGGGTCAAGAGGGTCTGGAATGTTCCTGCTGCCTTACCTTGCTTCTCTTTGGATCTCTTAGAAACCTGCACTAGGAGCATGGCCAGAGTCCACCCCTTGGTTCCCCACCCTGGCCACCTCCTCCCAGGAAAAGCGCTGTAAAAAAAAAAAAAAGAAAGAAAGAAAAAAGGGGATGTTAGAGAGAAAGGAGAAAATAAACTCTTTGGAAAGCAGAGAGTTTTACAACAGCCAAAGGTTTTATGGAAGCAATTGTGTAATAGCCTTCTACCTGCTCAGAACCCTTTCCGCTCTGCCTGCCGCCCACCCCGTTTGGCCTCCTTGATCCCTCCCCCCCAAAGGACTCAGCCGCCTCCCACTGTCTTGGATATCAGTGGTGGCTGAGAGTTGGGAAGAAGATTACTCAGTCCAGCGGGGCTGGGGCCACTGACCTCTGATATCCTACGAGGGAAGTTTGTCAGAGGTTCCGTTACTTTTCAATTAAGGTTCCTGCTTGGGGCTGTGGAAGCACCCAAGTTTGAACCCCGCTGTTTAGATTGGTGATCCCTGTTTGAAGGTTATTTTGGACAGAGTGTGGGTCCTGGGATCTTGGCTTCCCCTCCAATGTCTAAGGGAACAAGTATCTTCAAACCTCCCTGTGTTCTAGAGTAAGTCTGGGGGGGTCAGAAGAAGTGTCTCCTGTGCTGGGGGACAGAGACATTTGGTTGTATGCAGCAGTGTGTTAGCGTGACCTCCACAGTTACCTGAGGACGGTCACGCTCCGTTTGTCTACTTTTCCTTCACACTTGTGCAAGACACAAGTAATGGCATTTCCACCCCTATGCCCATCACTACCATGAAATAAGTGTCGCACAGTGCCTGCCATCCCTGCAGGTTGGGGCAAGATACACAGTAAAGGATTTCATGGTTGGATAGCAAAAGTCACCAAATTTCATGACCTCTTCTGGGTCAGTTGGAGGTATTTCCTTCACCTTCCAGGAAAATGTTCCGGTAGGACACCGTAATTGAATCCAGCTTTACGCCACACACATTTATTTGAAGATGATATATGAATTTTGCTTGAATACCAAATTAAGAGACAAGAGTTCAAGCGAGGCTTCCAAATCAGTTAATATTTTAGAGCCAAAATTTAAGCCCATGAATTTCCAGAATTTTATCTTCTCCAGAGGTATGTTGGATTTTTGTTTTTTTGTTTGTTTGTTTGTTTTTAATGTGCACACCAGCTTTAGGGGTATATTTTTAAAATCAAGAACAACATCACCATTAATCTACATATTTCGCAAGGGTTATACATATAACCACATATGCACAATTAGATCATAAATGCCTGCACCCAGGCACGCCTAGTATTACAGTTGGGAAGACGATGATATATACCATACACGGATGGAACGGAGCATACTTGAGCACTAGGTTCCCCTACAGAAATATTGGTTTGAAGCAGACACGCCGGAGAATTACCTGCTCAAATCCAGCTGCATCAGTCTCAGCCCTAGCTTATTAATTAAACACAAACTATCTTCTCATTTACTCTTTTCCTCCCCCTCCCTTTTTAACCCCTAGATTTTCTCTTATTACTGATAGAGCCCCCCACCACCACCACCAAAAACAGCAGGCACTTACCGGCTGGTTCTGCCTCCAGCTCCTCCTTGGTCCTTAGCTGTCCTGGGCCCCAACATGGCCAGGGGCTTTGCCTTCTTCCTCCCTGCTTTTTCCATGCTTCTAACTGAGCTCCAAAGTAAGCAATGACAAGAGGGCAGGGAATACAGGGTTTTCTTTCTTTCTCTTTAGGATTGGGGTGGGTTGCAGAGTAGCTTTACCCCACTGTCTGGTCACTTTTAATAAGTACATTTAGACTCTGGGTTCCAGGGGCCACAATGGTGGGTGCTCTGCTCTGGCATGGTAGGTACAATTGCCTAAGAAGGCAAGAAGATTTAAGGGGTTCATGGGTTCCCAGGACATCCCAGCAAGGGGGCACCCACCCTGATGACCATGTTGTCATTTGTCTCTGTTGAAGCTGAACTCCAGTTTGAGGCAGCAATCCCTTCTGGAAAGCTTGGCGGCAAGGGTGATCGAGACTCCCTGCCTGCTGCTGCAGCATCTTCAGCTGCAGGGGGACGAGATGGGGGTCCAGACTCCAGAGATGAGGGGGAAAGTTCATTTTCTCGCCTCTCAAGAAGGTAGATCTCGCAATCAAACCTGTGTCCTCCACATGATTACTATCATCCCTCAGCATCTTGAGGAAAAACCAAAACTAATGCTGACTCAGAAAAGAGGCCTGGGTGTCCTCTTCACCCAGCACTGGAAACCACCAGGGATTAGGGACAACTTTTTAGACACCACGCACAAATCTAAACTCAAATGATCACCTCACTTTTGCAGGGCACAAACCAGCAGCCAAAATGTTCTTCCACTGACTCTTTCCGTAAACTGAAGGGGCCCCTTGCTTCCTCTTTCCTTGTAGAGATTCTGCAGCAAAACCCAGGAGAGGAATGGGGGCCAGGAGGGCAGCAGGCAGAGCCAGAACCTGCACAGCTTGGGTCTTAAAAACAGTCTTGGTCTATGGCTTTTCCATAAATAAAACTGCCCCAGCCCACAGCTCATGTGTCCTTTTGGACCCTAATTTATATACTACAGAAAATCATATACCCACCTCGACATGCTTCATAACGTTGTTATTTATGGCGGGGGAGGAGAATTTTTTTTTTTGCCTGAAGACTATATTACAGGTAAAACTGATAGCAGACTCCACACGCCCAGCAAAACAGGGACAGGTGCTTTGCCCTAAATGTGATTCATTTAGTATTTCCCTGGCAGGCCCGGGAAGCTCCCTTGACTTTCCCAAGCATCCAACCGCTACTTAGAAGAATTTGCATCAGATTTTTGTTTCCCCATTTAGATACCTATGGAAAAAAACAGGTCTTCACGCTGCTTGGTTCGGAATCTGCTGGGCTTGTCTCTCTCCAAGAGCGTGGGTGGAATTGAAGGGGCCGGCTGGGCGCCCGCATTGATCTTTAAAAAATCATTTTGAAATCGCCATAATGTGAAGAAATATGGCGCTTCGCCCTCGTATTTCACACGTAATGACACGAGATGGCTTCATTTGGAAAGACAAGCGGGTGCGAGTGTGTATGCGTGCACGGAGCGGATCTGCAGCCTTTTTACTGGGCAGAGGGGGTGGTGGCCAAAAAGATATAACCCCAAGTTAGAAAGGGTCCACTTTTTTTTTCCCCAAAAGGAGGGTAGGGTAGGAGGAGGTCATGGCTCCTGGAGCAGCCTGCCTAATAAAGGTCCAGAGTCAGAGAACAGTCAAGAAATCTGTCCCTAGTCCTAACACGAGGAAACCGAGCCTGTCTAGGGGCCGGGCTTCCCAGAGCCTCACACCCGGGAAGACGTCAGCACCCAAGCAGAAGCTGCAGAGGCAGTAGCTGGGAGACCCGCCAGGAAGCCAGCCAGTGGCCTCGGGGGAGTCCCTCCGTAGGGCCGCAGAATAGCTGCTAATAAAAAGCACTATTTGGAAGTTCCACGAGAGGATTGGAGGAGGGGGGAGGCTTCGGGTGGGGGGAACGGACTGCTCCTGGGAACTCCGCTGTACTTGGTACTGTCCTATGTTGGCATTTGGACGGTTTCCAGAGCGGCAGTTCTGGGCGAGAAGAGCTGGGAATTTAGCTTGCCTCCTTCCGCTTTTGGAAGGAAAGGAAAGTAACCCGGTGTCCCTTACTGTGCTGTCCGGGGACCCTGTCCCCATCTCTGGAGAGTTCCTTTAATCATCTCTCACATTAGCCCCCTCCTCTGGACAGTTTTACGGTCTCAGAGGAAGGACAGAAGAAGTGGCCGTGGACCCCATCTCTTCCTAAAGGCCCAAGAAATTTCACGGAGTTAAATAAGACTGGTTAGTCGCGTGAAACTCTTTCATAGACTAGTTACAGGGTCTAGTGAGTCCCTTTGGCCTTAGGCAGGCTCTAATTTCAGACCAGATAATGGTTCTTTGGACACTGGCCCCATTGAATTTCCCTTTCTCCTTTCTTAGCTCCTGAAGGATCAAGAGAAGAGCCTAGTCATGTAAATCTCCCCCAAACTGTGCCCTGAACCCCCTCCGAAGAGGATAACTGTCCTATAAAATCCCCAACTTCTTCCCCATCCTTTTACTTCATCTCCTGTGGGTCGCTGTGCTGCTGTTGTTTAATAAACATCTCTGTCAAGGGGACGGAGGACAGGAAATGAGGGCCTGCGGGGTGGGGGTGGAGGTGTTGGGGGGGGTGACAAGACTACCTCCTCTTTAATTACCCTGTCGGGTCTCTCCCGCTGCTCTGAGGCTGGGGCGCTCTTTCTCCCTGTACGCAGGTCCTCCTCCCCCTCCCTCTCCAACCCGCCTGGGGAGAGGGCTCTGCAGCCTCGGTCCCTCTAGAGGCAGCCTGCCGCTTGCCTCCGCCTCTCCTCCGCCCCCATCGCCCCATGTTGAGAACCCCCCTTCCTGCAAAAGCGGGAGGGGCCCCGGGCGGCCGGGCAGCTCTGGCTGAGGTTACGTGGCCGCCGGAGCCCTGACGTGATAGCACATTGCATCAGCATAAAACAATCCATCCTGGATATGGAATGCGGTGAGGACGGATGACAGCGAGAGCGCAGCCCCCCTCGCCCGATTGATTTATGTCGGAGCTGACGCTTTATCAGGCAGTCCGCAAAACTTTGACCAATCATTTTGCAAGAAGCTCCGAGCCGGGCTGCTCCACTGTACTTTGTTGGCTGAGAAGTTAAGCAGGGGTGGGGGTGGGAGGGTGGGGGTCTGGGGGGGTCGCGTCCGAAAGCCCTCTACACCGGGTCCGTGTGCCACCTCTCCCTGCTTGGGCGCCGAGGCGCGAGCGCTTCCCTTCCCCCTGCGAGCGCGCGGATAATGTCTGAGAATGTCCATTTCTGGGACGCTTAGCAGCTATTATGTCGACTCGATCATAAGTCACGAGAGCGAGGACGCGCCTCCAGCCAAGTTTCCTTCGGGCCAGTACGCGAACCCGCGGCAGCCGAGCCACGCCGAGCACCTGGACTTCCCCTCTTGCAGCTTCCAGCCCAAAGCGCCGGTGTTTGGCGCCTCCTGGGCGCCGCTGAGCCCGCACGCGTCGGGGAGCCTGCCGTCCGTCTACCACCCCTACCTGCAGCCCCAGGGTGCTCCGGCGGCGGAGAGCAGGTACCTCCGCACCTGGCTGGAGCCCGCGCCGCGCGCCGAGGCCACCCCGGGGCAGGGCCAGGCGGCGGTGAAGGCGGAGCCGCTGCTGGGCGCGCCGGGGGAGCTGCTCAAACAGGGCACGCCCGAGTACAGTTTGGAAACTTCGGCGGGCAGGGAGGCTGTCCTGTCTAATCAAAGAGCCGGCTACGGGGACAATAAAATTTGCGAAGGAAGCGAGGACAAAGAGAGGCCGGATCAAAGTAAGTTATAAAAAAAAAAAAAGTGAGGAAATTCCCCCCCCCCCCCGCCGGCTGCAGGCCCTGGCCTGGAGGAGGGGAGGGGAGAGGCCATAAAGCGGACAATGTGAAGGGACAGCGCGCCGGGGGACGCAGGGCTAGAGGAGGCTGAAAGGAAGAGGAAGGAAGAGACCGGGATAGGAAGAAGCTGTGTGCCATGAAGCGGGGGGGGGGGGGGGGGGGGGGGGGGGGGGGGGGGGGGGGGGGGGGGGGGGGGGGGGGGGGGGGGGGGGGGGAGCGGGGGGCACACAGGCCGCCCCCACTCTTCCTAGTGGCGCGTGGACTGAGCCTCAAGGATCAAGTCTCATGAGTCCTTCTTTCTCCCTCACGCTCTTGCTGGAAAGGGGGGGGGGAAGCTGGGACAGTCGCTTGAGGAACGAGGGGGCCCCGGGCCGGTGGCCAGCGTGACCGAGAGCCCGCGCGGGCACGGGCAGGAGCATACCCGGCAGAGCCGCCTGCGCCACGCGCAGACAGTCCCCGCCGGCCAAGGGGAAGGGGGAGGGGGCTCATTAGGATTTTATTTGCGATGCAACAGCTTGGCAGAGGATTGTTCCTAGCAGATCTCACGCAGTAGCCGCGTCGGGTCGGCTGCCGGCGCCGGGAGGGGCGGGGGAAGCCCAGGACGCGGTGACGGAGCCCCCTCCCCGGTGCGCCGGCCCCTCCCCGGGAGCCTTCCCTCCAGGGTTCTCCGCTCTCCTAGGGCATCCTCGCCCGGGTGGCCGCTTCTCCCTCCGCGGTTCCCAATGCTCTCGGAGGGGCTCCGGAGCACTAGCCCGGACAGCTTGCTTCCCAGAGAGTCTGAATCACTTGCTAAAGTCAGGGCCCACCTCCAGAATGGAGAAGGTCTCCCGAAGGGATCTGGGGGAGGAGTGAGGGGGAGGACTGCGTAGGGGCGGAGAACTCAACCCTTGGTGGAGAGTTTCTTACCACCTACCATTCCTAAAAGCATCCCTTGCTAAAAAGGAAGAAAAAAAAAACCCAAGTGGAAAGCGCTGCAGGCTGAGAGAGATTCTTTTACTTATTTTTTTTTTTTTTTTAAGGATGGGAAAAGCAAACTGGTTGGGGGCTCTTAGTTCCCAAACAATTACAGACAGATTGTCAGGTCAAGTCCTCACCTCTTACTCCTTTGGGCAAGTAGTGTAGTTCTTGCTTGCCCTGTCAGATTTCCCACCAAAAGAGTGGCCAATGGGTCCTCCGTGGGCATGCTTGCCCTCTGAAGAGTAAGGAGAGACCCCTGCAGTCCCTATACCTCCAACCTGCCAGGTTGAGTCATTAGAAGCTTATATCGGGGAACGTAGCTCTTCCTTAACCTCCTGAAACACCCAAACAGAATCCTCACCCCATGGCCCCAAACTCGTCCTGGAAAGCCCATTACTGCACGGCAGCCATTTGGCTAGGATCAATTATTAACAGTTTTTTTTTTCTCTTTCATATTTAATGTGGCTTCGGGTCCTATCCCAGGCAATCACATTAAGGAAATAGCGCTGCAAATTGGTAAGACACGCTACTTAGTGTAGGATGAACTGAATTTAAAAATATACACGGATAATCAGGGCTTCTCGTTTGGGGAGGGGGAGCTGGCAGAGTGGATCTTATTTGTAATAGGCTCTGCTTTTGAGAGGGGGGACTTTCCTGAGTCCCAGGGTCTAGGGAGAGATGCAGGAGAGAAAAAGAAAAGCCTGCACGTTATTCCCTTGTTTTGCCCTCTTCCACCCCGTCACACTTTTCTCTGCCTCCCCATAGGGTAGGTTAGAAGGTCTTAGTAAGCTGTGGAGGGCTGTCTGTTACCCCGCCTCATCTCGGTCTCCCCACCTTGGGGCTGGAGCAATTTTGCTTCCCAGTTTCCCTGAACTTGTGTTAACCAAACTGTGAGCTGAGTAGCAGAAAGAAGAGGCTATTGCCACCATAAGTTATCTGGGAGCCCCGGGGCTCCCCTGTCCACCGGCTGCAATTGATAGATGGTTGTAATTGGGTTTCTTGTGAGTTGGGAGTGTGCTGTGGCGTTCGAGGCTGTAAATGCGACTCTTATTTGTGGTGTGTGGTGATGGGGAGGGGTATCATACAGACTCACATGTCTGCTGCCTTCTGGACTAGAGCTGAAAGATTGCTACCCAGGCAGGGTTTACTGGGACTGGGCTGAAGGGCCAAGAGATCTCTTGGCTGGGGCTGAACAGGACGACTCCTTTCCCTACCCAACCCAATTCTTCCTCTTTCCTCCCAGACCTAGAGCCAAGGTCAGCCACCTTTAGTTGGCAGTGTGGCTCCAGCTACACTGACCTTTTCTGACCTGAGTCCAGGTCTGTCTGGACACAAGTACAGAAAGCTTGAGAGCCTGGGGCAGTGGAAGCTTTGGAGATGCTGGGGTGGTTTGGCTCTATCCTTAAAGGGCTGTTTACCTGGAGCTGTCTGTTTTAACTCCTGGCCCACCTAGGGGTGCTTTCTGGGATCTTGAAGGCCTTGGGTGACCTTCTCCATTGCAAGATGGGGAGTAGAGATGGTGAGCACCCTCTTGGTCTGGGGCCCTTCACCCCCTTCTTTCCTTTGATTCTATCGCTGCTTCTCTTTCAGCCAACCCTTCTGCCAACTGGCTGCACGCCCGCTCTTCCCGGAAAAAGCGCTGTCCCTACACCAAATACCAGACGCTGGAGCTAGAGAAGGAGTTTCTGTTCAATATGTACCTCACCAGGGACCGCAGGCACGAAGTGGCCAGACTCCTCAATCTGAGTGAGAGACAAGTCAAAATCTGGTTTCAGAACCGGCGGATGAAAATGAAGAAGATGAATAAGGAGCAGGGCAAAGAGTAAAAGACCAGCCCCACCCTTCCCTACCTCACTCAGATTATTTATGTGGTGGCTGCCAGGCCACTGCTGCCTGGGATGTATCCAAGTGAGTGGGGAAGGGCATCTCCTCTTTAAAGTCCCTCATTTACCCCTGGAGCCTGCCTCCCCTCCCTTGCCTATCCCTGTTTCTCTCTCTTCCCCTTGGGTGTCAGGAGGAAGTTTTGTTAAGTTAGAAGCTAGCTGTAGTTGGTTCCTAGGAAAGTGATGAGCCTCAAAGAAAGAGAACCCCAGTCAAGCTCCTAGCATCCCTGCTAAGTTTTTTCTGGAAAACCCCAGACCCCCCCCCTCCCGCCTTTTCCAACTACCTGCCTGTTCCCTCCCTGCACCTATCCAGAAGTCACCCAGGAAGAGTTTAACTGTACACACCCCAACAGATGCCCCAGGACATAGAGTTGGGGGTCCACATGATCATGGAGAAAGAAAATTACATTGTTCTCCGAGCCCAGCCGGGCAGTCCCAGAGCCAGCAGGTTCTCCCCCTGATGCAGACACACACAGGATGAGGTCTGGAGGTAAACTCTTGAATGAGGCACTGCAGTCCAGAGTCTCCAGGTCCTTGTACTTATCCCTATGGAATCGCCAGCTCCGCCCCAGGTCTTGGGGGGCTGTGGGCAGATGGGGCCAGCCCAGTCCCCAAGCTGCTGGGAGCTAGAAAGGGCGAGAAAAAGGGCAGGCAGTGGTTTTCTGAAGGCCCCTTTAGTGGAGCCCCTAGCAATTCTCTTGGCAGGAAATGTTTAGTTGTGCACGTTCTCCTTCCTTCCCCCTGAAGGAGGTCACACTGTGGGTGTAGAGCCTCCACAGTGCCATCCCCCCCTCACACGTCCCCTTGACAGACTGTAGTAGTTTTTCTTGCTGACCACAGATTTTGCATTCTTCTCCATTCCTTCCAGCTCCAAAATCAACTCTCCTTTCCGCGGCTAAATCCATCTTGTGCCAGCTAGTCAAGTCTCCCCATGTAGGAAAAAAAATCCCTTCACCCCCTCCTAGGTCAACCCCACCATAGAGAAGGCCAGGTCAGGAGAGTCTGATTGAGAATTTATTGTGAATCAATTTCCCAGCAACCTTCCAGAGTGGGCAGTCAGGGGAGGAGAGGCAATGGCCTCAGCAAGCAGGGCTAATGGGTCTCTTCCCATGTCACTAGTTTTCTGGCCCACATAGAAGAGAGCCCCTTGGCATGCAGCCAGAGGGCCACCTGGAAGAAACCCCAAAAGCTCAGAGTGGGGACTTCACCTCCTGCAGAATACACTGCTGTGTCCTGATACAGGCCATGTGCACCCACGCTTCTGGCAAACAGTCCCGCGTGCAAAGTAAAGAAGCAAAATCACGCCTCCCCACCGGGCAGAGACTCACCCTCTGCTTCCGTCCTTCCCCGCTCTCAATCCCTTCCACCCGTGGACTCTTTCTCCTGCCTCTCCCAACCCTGCAAAGAGGTCATTCCAGTAGAACTTTGAATTTTATTTTATTTTTTGCTTCGTCAGTGGCTGTGGTGAAATTGTGCTTGTGTTTTGTGATTTCTTTGGCAATGATTTTCAGTTGTTGCTCATTAGGGAGGGTTGAGGGTGGGAGTGGGGAGGGCAAGGGGCTAGAGCTCTAATTGTTTGTTTTGGAAGAAAAAGAAAAAGAACAAAAAAATATATATCACTCTAGAAAACAAACCTCTCCTGCGTTTTATTCGATGTTGCTTCTCCTCTGGTTATTAAGAGCCCCGTTTCTAAAAACATGGCTTCAAACAAAGGCAAGTTAGCGTTCACAGACAGGACCCTTTCCATAGAACTTCACCTGCTCTGTGGTGGCCCTGACACCAGAAGGGTATCCAGGTCCTAAGACAGCTGCTTAAACTGAGCAAAGACCCTTTCAGTCGACCCGAGGGAGTGGCGTGGCGAAGGAGGAAAGAGAATCTCCAGGATTCAGAGAGGAAGTGTGTCTCCTTAGAGCAAGGGTCTTCACCCAAAGTTGCTCTGACCTCTGCCAATGGGTAGAAGGAAAGTCCGACTTGTAGTTCTTAGAAGCGTCTCAGCTAACCACTTCAAAACTCTCAAGGGCGGAGTTAGTGGTCTTCCAACACTATTGCCTGGAGTGTGGCGGCGGGGAGTAGGTGGGAGACCCAGACTTGGCCGGAAGCTTGGCTGACTCAAATGGTTGAACCTGAGGACTCCTTGTAGATGCCCTCCTCCACAAACACCTGGAGTCGGGCTCATAGGTCTGAGGCTTGCTGAGCCTGCAGGTTTGAAGTCAGGGTATGTGACAGCTCTCAAAAGAAAGCCACCAAAATGCAGGACACAAACGTTTTCAGGAGGGGAATGAATGATTCATGTCCAAAAGAACCCCTAGGATTACACTTGGCTTCAAGGGGCGTCTTCTTGTTCCTCTCTTACTGCCGGTGTCCCTGCAAGAGCCTGTCGTGAAGTCTGCCATTCGTGGAAGCCCTGATTTTCTTATTCAGTCGTGAGGATCCCGGCTGCAGCCGGTCTGCAGCTCTGTCGCCGGCCTCGCGCGACTTTCTCTCCCGCCGCACACGCCACACTGCCGCCGAGACACTGCGGCTTGGGGTGGAGCTGGCGACAAAGGCTGGCCCCGAGTGAAAGAAGCCTGCCATGCCGGCCCTACCCCTCTCTAACGAAAGGGCAAGGGGGATCTGAGAAACAGGAGGCGGGAGACGGGAAGCTTCCATACCGCAGCTGAGACAAGCGGCCTGCCAGGAGGGTTATGTTAAAGAAGGAAAATTAATCTGGCTTTACAGCTGGTGTGGACTGGGCTGTTTCTCCATCCTTGGCTCTCCAGGCTCTGCCGGCTGCAGAGAGTGAGCCAAGGAAGCCTGTTTCTGCCTAAAGGAAACATAAAAAGTGAGCCTGGAGACTGGGTCGCGGCAGGGTAGGAGGCTTAGGGCGTCTGGAGCTGCCTAGGGCAGCCGCGTCTGGGTCCCTGGCCGGGATGGCTTCTTTCAGGACAAAGAAAAAGGGAGGTGCAGAGGGGGAGAGGCAGGGGATGCGGGAATCAGTTAGAGAGAGAGAGAGAGAGAGAGAGAGAGAGAGAGAGAGAGAGAGAGAGAGAGAGAGAGAGAGAGAGAGAGGCAGGCAGAGAGAAGCCGGGAGAGGAATTCAATGCCGTGTGCGCAGCAATAAAAGAATATGACCGCTATAAAAGTTTATAGGGTATAAATTTCTGAAGGTTAAGAAACTAAACAGCAGCAAAGCAAACACTGAAGGGAAACTTTCCGGAGATGAGCCGCGCCTGAGCCTAGGCTTGGGACCTGGTGGGAGAATGGGTGGGCCTTGTTATGAAGCCCCCACCCTAACCCCTCTTGCCCCCAGGTCTGGGGCTTGGGGTCTGGAACTTGGGAATCAGGGTAAAAGGGGTGAGGTTCAGAGGATAAAGAGTAAAGAAGCTAGCAACTGGGAAGAACACTTTTCTGTCCCCAAAGCTTCAGCCATGGAAATTCTGACTGGTGTCTTTGTTCTTTACACACCCCCCTCTGAAGCGCCAGTCACAAACAAGAAACCCTTGCACAGGCGGTCACACACACACACACACACACACACACACACACACACACACACACACACGAACTAGCAGGGCCAGACGCCTGAATTAGAGTAGCTTCTTGATGCTTCTTCAGTTCCATTCCATCACCTCAGACTTCTCGTCCCTCACAAAAAGCTCAGTTGTTACCCCACAGCGTGTGAAGCAATCGTGGAGGCCTTAAAAAGTGATCCACTTACTGCCCAAGAGCAGCGCACTGCTTAGTGGCTCCAAAAGAAATTAGGGACTGGGTGGATTTATAGCTTCTATTCCTTTGAACTTATCTGAACTGTTTCATGAACAGTTTCCTGATTCCGAAGACCTTTCTCTTATCTGATTTCATTTCTTCCCCCCCTATGTCTAGTAAATAATGAAAGTTTAATCCTTTGTCACTTCTTAATGTTGGTTCTCAGAGAACCTGGTTGAGTTGAAGGAAAACGTCTTTTGCCGAGTGGCCGCTAGATGGCACCCTTGCTCCATGTGAAATTTTCTAGTGTTATGGTTGAGGGCTTCTTCGGCTGCACAGAGCACCTTGTTCGGCCCTATATCTAGGAACTGAGAGCTACCAAAAGTCATGAATAATTTGCACATAATAAAAATATAGGGTTTGTTATGGCCCTTTCCCCTATTGTAAGTATTTCAATTATAGTGGCGTTTCTCTCTCTCCTCAAACGGTTCATTTTCTGAATTTCACACTAAGACGGCTGTTTCCCAGTTGCTGTGTTCGGTGGGGCGAGAAACGCGTGGAAACCGGGGATAATATCGATAATAGAAATATAGAAATAATGGGCCCAAATCAAGGAGGAGAACTGTCTTGGAAAAATGAGATTTCCCTGAAGTGGTGGTGGGAGGAATAAAGGGAAGGCCAGCGGGTCAGGTGAGGGGGGTAAGCCCGCAGGTCTCCTGAAGAGGAAGCTGCTACCCCAGGCGGGCTGCCCACACCTGCTGGGGAGCGAATCTGATGTGCTATCCCGGAGATTTCTCAAATTTTGGAGGAATGGGGACCTAGCTCTGTTGAAGATTCCATGGTGCCCCAAGTCAGAAGGCCGGCTGCACCTGGGTGCTGAGTCCAGCGCCTTTGTAGGCGTCCACGTCTGGACTGGGCTAGTGCCTGGCCACCGAGGCTCGAACAGGGTCTCCCCAGGGAGGCGGGTTGAGGGGAACGCTGCAGCATCCCCTCGGTAGGTTCAGTCAAAACCCTGCGTGTGTTCTGGACAGGAGCAGGAGCAGCCGGTGAGTTTTCCGTGCTCCGGGGTTTCCAGGTGGGAGCCAGCGGCGGCTCCTACCCGCGTGCCCAGGCTCTGCCCCTGGCCCCCATTCTCAGGCAATCCGTGGGGAAGCCGGTCCTTCTGCAACGCAGCAGCTGGAGGCCTGGACTTTTCGTTCGGAGGCCGTCGCTCTGACCGCTCACAACCCTTTCGGCTGATTCCCAATCTTCAGTTTCCTCTAGGCCCAGTCGGAACCCGCCTCCAACATGAGCTGGGGGGGGGGAGCAAGCCACCCCCACCTCCGCAAAATGACCCCATCCCTAGCTGCCCCCCCACCCCGACCAGGTGCAAAGAAGCCAGCGTAGTGTCTCCTCAACTTCAGTTTCTCCAATAAATCTGCGCTCCGTTGGGTGTTTATAAATTACCCCCGTGCTCTTTCTTGGTTTTTTTCTTATAACAGAAACATTTTCCTTCCATCAGAAATTTCTGGCACGGCGAAGGGATGATTTAGAACAAGCCATTGAATTTCTACCTCACCAGTGAGTCCTCAAATCATGACCATAAAATCCCCCGCACTTGATAAAAATGTTCGCTTCCGTAACAACTTGACTCTGCCTCAGGTTGCTTTACCGCCCCCTCAGCCTTGTGCTAGGAAAAAAAAAAGAAAAGAAAAGAAAAGAAAAAGAAAAAAATATACCAAAGCAAAAAACCCAGAGCTTGGTTCACTTTCCCCCTTATTTTGCCCCCCCCCCCCTTATTCGCTGGACTTACTTTAGAAGGCTGGATAAAACTGGCAGGGACGGTTGGCTCCCTTGAAAACGTTGTGGTTTCATTTTTACAAAAGTTGGGACTTGTGGTATCCCCAAAAGAAGCCTCCCCGAGAATCAGCAATAGAGTAAATTTATTTGCAAAATCGATTCTGCCTTTGTTTTAGAAATTTTCTTTCTCCTTCTCCCCGTCTTCCCGGCCTCTCTTTTGCATGTCAGCTGCCCCAGGAGGCCATTGGTTCTGACTCTCTTCCTAGGCCTCCCAAGGTCTGACAGACCCCAGCCTTGGGCCAGGTACGCAGATAAGGCTCCGGTGCTTGGAGTAGGGGCAGCCAGTTAGTTCGCTTCCTCATTCTGGGTCTGAGGCCTCAGATCTTCAGGGTTTCACTAAGGGCACCCTAAGAAAAAGGAAAGTGAAGACTTCAGTGGCCTTGCTTTCTCTGAACCCCTTTACCCAAGGTCAGTGCAGGTGATCAAATGGCTATAACAGTAGCAGGTGCCCACTGAAAACACAACTCGCAGCCTTTGCCTAGGGCACTGGAGGGCATAAGGCAGCAGTCACCAAGGCCTTGGTGCCCAGCCTTAGCTTCCATTACCCTTACCTCTTTTTGGTGTGCTGATGAGATTGTCAGTGTCTACACCTGGAAAGCCTGCGTGGAAGGTACAGGGGATTGACCCCTGCTCAGGCTTCGTTGCTGCACCCCAAGATGCGGGTGCAGGGGTGGAGCAGTCACAAGAGTCCTCATCTTTTTGAGAGCATCTGACCCTTCCCCATCTTCCCTCTAAGGTGGTGAGTGGGCCAAAGCACCTTCAGAAGATCCCCCCTCTTTCCCTTGAAGCACCCCCCACCAGCAGCAGCTAAAAGCCTGTGTAAATGCAAGAATTGGGAGCCTTCGCAGGACTTTTTCCTCCGTTTTAACCTTGCCCATTAACCAGAAAGTTTCTTCTTCCTCCCTCCTCAGACCCCCTTTCCACAGAAAATCCTTGCGTGTTTGCTTAACGAGGGAAAGTTTATGTGTGACTTGGGCGGGGACAGCTCTTGGGGTGGTGGTGATGGTGGTTTGGGGGTCTCCAAAGAGGGCTTGAGGACAGGTGTATCTGTCTGTTAGGCCGAGGAGGCTAAAATCTCGGGAAACTCACCGTTTGAGCCGAAAAGGAAAAAAAAAAAATCAACAGCAAACCTTAATGGGTCTCATTTCGGCTTAGTCACCCCCACCGTGCTTCAGTCGGGCGGCGGGGGCGATCGAAGCTGTGGTTTTATAGCTGTAGAGGAAAGAACTCGTAAAATGCTAACAGCTTTTATGTGCTGCGGCATAAACAACAACAGACTCCGGCTTTATTGCGTTTTATAGTTTGTTAAAGAGTTTACAGCCTTTTTTTGGGGGCTGGTTACCCAGCCAATTCCCTCCACACGATAGTTAAACCTTTATCAATAATAAGGAAATTGATCATTAAAGCTTTAAATATGACTACCTCGTTTGTTTGAAAATATGTTTAGGAGAGGAAGCTGTATGATTTGATAACTTGTATTAAAATACCAATTACATTTATAGGACCTTTTAAAACTCGGCGCAATTAAACCGTGTTCTTTTACATTTTTCCGAAGCGACCCTGACATTTAGAAAGACTCCAATTGCCTCGTTAAAATCGCGAAATTAACAGCGTGCCTACGCCAGGCGCAGCGTTGTGGATGTGTGTGCGCATGGTGTTTTTCCGTGACTCCCCCACATCAGTCTTTGGGGGTGGTCTGCGAAGGTATTTGATTTGTTGTGAGGCAAGAGATATCTCATTAATGTAGGTAGTTAAACAGATTTAATCCGCATTCGTTCTCTCTTTCCCCCTCCCTCTCCCCCTTCTCCCCCTCTCTCTCCCTGGGTGTTTTCCCCCCCTTCCCCTCCTTTTTTTTCCTGCCCTCTCCTCACTCCCCGGCGCTCTCTCGCTCTAGCTCTCTCTTGCGCGCTCGCTCTCTCGATCTCACCCTCGCTCTGCGTTCTGTCCGGGAGGAGTACCCAGAAGCCAATAGGATGCGGGGTCTCTAATGGATGCAAATGATGGTGAAAAGACGGGGCAAAATATGAAACAACTCATTTGGAGGGAAGTAAATCACCGAAAACTGTTTATGAACTGGCATCCCTTCTTCGAAATGTAAAGCGAGGACCTCTTTAAGTGGCGGTATATTTTTGTTTGGGGGGTGGGGGGGTGGGGGGAGGGCGAGCGAGCCGCGGCTGCCATGCAGGCTTAGACTTTTGCAGGCTTCGCTCTTCTATTCCTGGAAATCACAAAAAGTGTGGCGGCTTCGAGATCTTCTTCGCCTTTTCTTTCTTTTCCTTCCTTCCTTCCTTCTTTCTTTTTTTCCCCTCCTCCTCCCTTTTCCTCTCCTTTCCTGGCGAGGGTGACTAGGAGCCGGCGAATCCGCGTTTTTTTTTCTCTCTCTCTCTCTCTCTCTCCCTCCCTTTCCCCCTCCCCACCCCCTCCCCAACAGCCCCCAACTACAGCCTGCGCCGCCGCCGCCGCCTCAAAATTCAATAAAATGAGCTCTTATTTCGTCAACTCACTGTTCTCCAAATACAAAACCGGGGAGTCCCTGCGCCCCAATTATTATGACTGCGGCTTCGCCCAGGACCTGGGCGGCCGACCCACCGTGGTGTACGGTCCCAGCAGCGGCGGCAGCTTCCAGCACCCGTCGCAAATCCAGGAGTTCTACCACGGGCCATCGTCGCTGTCCACGGCTCCCTACCAGCAGAACCCGTGTGCCGTGGCGTGCCACGGAGACCCCGGTAACTTCTACGGCTACGACCCGCTGCAGCGCCAGAGCCTGTTCGGTGCGCAGGATCCAGACCTGGTGCAGTACGCAGACTGCAAGCTCGCGGCCGCCAGCGGCCTGGGCGAGGAGGCCGAGGGGTCTGAGCAGAGCCCCTCGCCCACACAGCTCTTCCCCTGGATGCGCCCTCAAGGTGAGCTCCCGTCGGGCCTGCCCGGGTGGGAAGGGGCCAGGAGGGCCCCAGGCCGATCGAGGGAGGGGGGGCTGGGCAGGCCAGGAGCATCTTCTGCTCCTAGAGGACTTGTGGGCTCCGTTCCAATCACCTACCTCTTTTCCCATCCTTCCCACTTTCTTTTCTTTTCCCCCTTTTCTTTTTGCTTCCTTTGAAGGGGGGGGTCGCTAAGTGAATTTCCTGAATCCATAAACCCCTCACCCTCCTTTACTTTTCTTCTTCTCCCCTCCTTTCCCCCTTTTACTGTTTTATGGGGGCTGTGGAGAGTGATGGGAGCGGGGGCGCTCAGCGTTTGCACTTCTCAATTGCTTTATAGTTTAATTACCCTAAAGAAACTTTTCTTCTGGGCAGAGGCTCTGGGGGCTTCTCAAGGTGGGTTCGTGGGTCCCCACTCCAGCTTTTTATTCTTATTCCCCATCTCCACATCCTTCCCCCTAAACTTTATGGCACTTTTAATATATTTGACCCCCCATTCTTATTCTAGTTACCAGGGGAAGGGGCTCCCCCTTTTTGACCCCCGCAGATTCAGTGCTGTCTAGTCCCCCCCCCCCCCCCCCCCCCGCTGACCGCGGCCTCTGCGCGCTCCCTCCCGCCCCCCGCATAAGGGTCCCCGGCCCTCATTATCCTGGTCTCCTAGGCTGGTTCACGAATCTTCCAACCTTCTCTGTCTCTGCCCCCTCCCCCACCCGCCCCTCTGTCTCGCCCTTTCCCCCATTCCCAGCAGCCGCCGGACGCAGGCGAGGCCGCCAGACCTACAGCCGCTACCAGACCCTGGAGCTGGAGAAAGAGTTCCTATTTAATCCGTATCTGACTCGCAAGCGGAGGATCGAGGTATCGCACGCTCTGGGACTGACAGAGAGACAGGTCAAAATCTGGTTCCAGAACCGGAGAATGAAGTGGAAAAAGGAGAACAACAAAGACAAGTTCCCCAGCAGTAAATGCGAGCAGGAGGAGCTGGAGAAAGAGAAGCTGGAGCGGGCGCCAGAGACCGCCGAGCAGGGCGATGCGCAGAAGGGTGACAAGAAGTAGGCTCCAGTTGGGACTGCTTGGGCCGGGGCTAGCCCGCACGTCCGCCGGTCCCTCCCGCGACCACGCCGCTGTCGCCCGCTCCCCCGCCTCCGAGAGCTCCGGCCCCGCGAGCGGAGCCAGGAGCTGGGCCTCCCACCGCAGCGTCCCCCGCCGCGCCAGTCCCTGCTAGTGGTAGTATCTCGTAATAGCTTGTGTGTGAGCTACCGTGGATCTCCTTCCCTTCTCTTGGGGGCCAAGGGGGGAAAAAAGAAAAGGATTTTAAACAAGGACTCCCTCGCCTTGCGAGGGTGAGCGACTGCTGCCTGCCAGAGCCCCCCTCGCCCCCGCCCCATGTAAAAAAGCCTCCTTGTGCAATGGTCTTTTTCCTTTGAACGTGCTCCTTTGTAATGACCAAGGTACCGATTTCTGCTAAGTTTTCCCAACAACATGAAACTGCCTATTCACGCCGTAATTCTTTCTGTCTCCCTCCCACTTTCTCTCTCTCTCTTTCTCTCTCTTTCACCACGTCCTCATCTTTCCTCGCAACCCAGCTCCCCACTGCCCTCCCTAGCTCGCTGGCTTTCTCTCTTGCTTCTCTCTTTTCCTCCTGTCCCCCCCCCTTTGATTTGACAATTTTGTCTTAAGTGTTTCTCAAAAGAGATTACTTTAGTTAGCATGCGCGCTGTGAGCAATTGTTAAAAGTGTTCTTAGGTTTGCTGTGAAGAGAATGTATCCTGTATCCGTGAATTGCTTTATTGGGGGGAGGGAGGGCTAATTATATATTTTGTTGTTCCTCTATACTTTGTTCTGTTGTCTGCGCCTGAAAAGGGCGGAAGAGTTACAATAAAGTTTACAAGCGAGAACCCGAGACTGGCCCGGGCCGGCGCTCCTCATTCGCTCCCAGGCGCCTAGCTGGGCTGGGGTTGGGGGGGGTTATGGGGGGTGAGCTGGTCAGCAGTCTCCTGGGCTGGCCTAGGCTAGGTCGCAGAGAGGAGGGGGCGGGGGCTGGAAGCAGGTGGTGCGAGTCCCGGGGCCCAGAGGCGCAGGGGGTGAGGGAGGCGGCTGCACGTGATTGGAGGAGAGAGGATCGAGGGAGGGGAGCCAAGAGAAACCCCCTCCCCTTGCGTTCCGAGGCTGCTGGGCCCGGGAGACTCCTGCGCCCCGGCCGCTTTGGAGAAGAGATGTGCCCAAGCTGGTGGCTAGCATCCCCTGTCACTTCTCTCTTTGTTTCCGTGTGTGTCCTGGCGGGAGGGGGGGGGGCTTGGGGAGGGTGGATGTGGAGTATGTTGCTGAGTTTATGTTTCCATTTTTCTCGGACTCAGGTTGGGGAAACAGGAGTAGAGGGAAGAGGTTCCTCCCTACCTTCCCTCTCTGGGACGGCGCCACTTTCTCCCAGTTTCTAGGCCGCGGCTTGCCGCAGCCTTCCTTCCTTTGCTGCCTCTGCCTCGCTGGCAGCCACGCTCCACTGAGTGAGGCATCCGCCTTCCGGAACCGGGAAAGCAGCGAGCCGGACCCAAACCGCCCTCCTCCCTTCCTTTTTCTCCCCACCCCTATTCCGTTCTTTTTATTTTTTGTGTGTATCTTTTTATTGGCACCCCGTTTTTTTTCCATTTAGTCTTCAGAAATCGCAGCGTCCAACGCCTGTTGGGTTGGATTCCTGCCCTAGGGAAAGCCTTGATTCACCTCCAGCACTACAGCTGGGGCACTCAGGGAACCGGGAGGCCAGGTTCACCTCGTCCCTCGTTTTAAGAGAACAGCAGCAGCCCTGAAGGATTAGCCCGGATTAATAAATACTCGGCCAGCACCCACCCACCCACCCACCCACCAAGTTGCGCACATTCAATTCCTGCGTCTGTCTCTCGCTCTGTGGCCGGCTGGGGGAAATGGGTGGGGGGTGACAACACGGATCGCTCAGATGTTATTTATTTTCCCTCCCACTCAATCCCTTCCTCCTCAAATCGCGCCTGCAAGCTGCCTCCAGCCCGCGGGGGTCGGCAGCGGCCCTTGAGCCCCCAGCCCCAATCCGCAGAGCTCGGCCTTCCCATCCATTATTGAGCATATTTTATAAATCCAACGCCACACAATTTTTTCCACATTACTGAGAGCCGCCGGGAGGCCGTCAGATCATTGGTCGAGGGGTATCACGTGGGCCAAGGTCACGTGGGCCAGAGAGGAAAAAGGGGGTCCTTTTTGGTGTAAATCTGGACTCTAATTCTGTAATATATCAAGGAATCTCGTAAAACCGACACTAAAACGTCCCTGACTACAAATCATTCGGCCAAATTATGAGTTCATTGTATTATGCGAATGCTTTATTTTCTAAATATCCAGCCGCAAGTTCGGTTTTCGCTCCAGGAGCCTTTCCCGAACAAACTTCTTGCGCCTTTGCTTCCAACCCCCAGCGCCCGGGCTATGGAGCAGGTCCCGGCGCCCCGTTCTCCGCCTCGGTGCAGGGCCTGTACCCCGGCGGGGGGGGCATGGCGGGCCAGAGCGCGGCCGGCGTCTACGCGGCCGGCTACGGGCTCGAACCGAGTTCCTTCAACATGCACTGCGCGCCCTTTGAGCAGAACCTCTCCGGGGTGTGTCCGGGCGACCCCGCCAAGGCGGCTGGCGCCAAGGAGCAGAGGGACTCGGACTTGGCGGCCGAGAGTAACTTCCGGATCTACCCCTGGATGCGAAGCTCAGGTAACGCCGCGCACCCAGCGGTCCGGAGCCGCAGCGTCCGGGCCACAGTCCCCGGAAGGTCCCCTTTTTCCCGCAGGGCACCCTTCTCCGTGTCCAGGATACTCCTGGTTTCAGGTCGGCCATTGCCACGGCGTTTAAGTCTGGGCTGGGACCCCGCGCGCCGCCCCCACCCCCAGTTTTGCTCTCAGGCCCTGGCGGATCTCTTTTTGCCGACGCCACCGCGCTCAAAGCCCCCAGCCCGCCCCCAACCCTTCCTCCGGGCCTTTTAGCTTTAAATATTTATCAGCAGCGCCGGCACGGGCTGGAGAGGAGGCCGTTTGTCTTGCCTAGGAAGGCTGGGGCTTGCAGAGAATAGCCATTAGGGTCTTTCTCCCCTCTCCCCCCACTTCCCTGCCTGAGAGCGCTGTTCTGGGTGTGTCCCCCCCAGCCCTAGCTTGATAAGATATGGAGGAGGGGGCCACGGCTCTAAGCAGTTCTCCCCTCCCCCTTCCTTTCCAGCCAACCCCACTCCCCCATTATTCCCATCAGGACAATTAGAGGTGGGCTCTAGAGGCCTGGCGGGAGGAGGGGGTATAGAAGAGCTGAGGACCCAGCTAGAGACGTAGAGCCAGAGAGAGGTGAAGGGAGTTTGTCTGAGGCCCAGAGCGATGAGTCTATGACTCCTTCTGCCCCTGGTGGACTTAGGAGGGTGGACAAGAAGAGAGGCAAAGGCTCAAGAGGGCATAGCTTTTCCATGCGCTTTTCCTAGGGCTCCGTGGATCCCGGGGTGGGGTGGGGGACAGCCCAGAATGGAGGTGTCACTCCAGAAGAATGACTTTCCTTTTGCGGGGCTAGGATCTATGGAACCAAACCAAGACTGGGGAGTGCAAGCCACCCAGCAGCTGCTTCAGGAGCCCTAAAACACCAAGGCTTCCACCAGGTTCTTCCAATGCCCCCTGACACATCCTTTTTTTTTTTAAAAAAAATTAAATTAATTTAATTTTTTAAACATTTCCTCAAAGCAGTTGGGCTTGGGAGCCATCTCCAAGGCGCAGAAGACCCAAGACTGTGGTCAGAGACTCTCATCAGGGTCGGAGGCCATGAGTGAACACTCATTCTGTTCAGGGTTTCTATTACCTACCCTGTACGTGAACTGGTTTTGCAGTTGGTTTACCAACCCCCCACCCCCTTACCCTCATAAACATTTCAGTATGGCTTACATCTGACTTGGAATCAAGACCCTTAGCCCCTCCTCTCTCCTGCCTTCTTCCCAAGAGGGCTGACACCAGCTGCTCCCCAAAGTCTCCTAGGGTTCTGGGCCTAAGCTGGAAGTTCTCAAGTACCTTTCAGCCCCACCATAAGGATCTCCACTTTCCTCTCCCATCCATGGATCTTCCTTTCTTTCTTGCAGTCCTGGAAGCCAGAAGATGGCTTCAGACAATTTGGTTATCTGGGCAGGAAGGCAAGCAGGTAGCCAGGCCTTGCTTGATACTTTACTGGGGAAAATGTCACTAGAACACAGCTGCTGTTAGGCTCATAATTTCAGGGTTCAGGGAAGTAAATTCTCACCTCTTCCCCTTTCCGTGACAGGTTTGGGTGGGGACTGAGCCTAAGAGGTCCTTTGTTTCATTTCTTTCCTTCTCAGACCAGGCCTAAAGCTACCACTCTGGGACACTAAAACCATTTCCAGAGCCCCTTACCTCAAAGCCATCTCAAAGGGAAAGGGGGAGACTTGGAGCCCTGGCCCCAGAAAGTGACTGAGGATTCATATGCCCCCATGCTATGCTGGCCCCTTAGGAAGAGAACTTTCAGGAACCAGCAGCTGAGACCTACCTGGCTTTCAGAAGCTCCAGGCTGAGAAAACCACCCTTTGTGGATAATCCAACTATCTGGTGTGGTGGGCCTGGCCTGGAAACCCAGGGCTTGGCGCTTGGGATTATGAATCAGTATTGCTACCAGATTGAAGCCACCCAAAGGTGACATAGCAAGATCCCCCTTTGAAAAGCAAAACATCTCTTGTGGACACACACAGAGAAGAAAAAGTATTATTATCCTCGAGAAGCTTAGACAGTTTTCTGCACATGGCAGAGAATACGGTTCCATGAAGTGTAGAACAGAATATGCAAAATGGTAATTTGGTTCCAGTAAATATGGCCTTTTACTGTCCTCAGGCCTCACTATGGAAGGAGGTGGGAATTCCCTTGGTGTTTTTCACACACTGATTTTTTTTTTTTTGTTTCTATCTCTTTCTCCTAAATACTGTGAGTAGGAACTGACCGAAAGCGGGGCCGCCAGACCTACACGCGCTACCAGACCTTGGAGCTGGAGAAGGAGTTCCACTACAATCGCTACCTGACCCGGCGACGGCGCATTGAGATTGCGCACGCGCTCTGCCTCACAGAAAGACAGATCAAGATCTGGTTTCAGAACCGACGTATGAAGTGGAAAAAGGAGAACAAAACCTCAGGCCCCGGCGTCACTGGCCAGGACAAGGCTGAAGCAGAGGAGGAGGAAGAAGAGTGAGGGACAGGGAGAGCGAAGAGGAGGCGACTGGAGAGAAGACCCCGGCTCTGGAAACTGAAGCATGAAATGCAAATAAGGGGAAATCTATTTAAATGAAGCAGTTTAAAAAATAATGAGAAGGGTGAAATTTGGGCTTCTCAACACTGTAAAAAAATACTACCTATAGGAAAGTGTGTTGTCTGTTTTGTACATACTACCTTTGTATAGAAGGACATACTACCTGCTCCGTGGCTTTCTGGAATGTGCCTCCCTTTTCTATGTTGCTAGTAAGGTCTTTGTAAAATCTTGCTGTTTTGTAAGCCCTCTTTGACGCTGTCTTTGTGGACTGTGGATCCTTGACTACCCCGTACTTCCCGGTAGCAGCACTCAAAGGGCCTCAGGGAGCCTCGAGGACCCACTAGCTCTGCCTCTGGTGCACTTCGCTGCTGATCCTGGCTCCTACCCCTTCCCACAAGCCTCTTTCTGTATTTCTGAAGGATGGAGAATAAAAACAGGATTAAAAATCAACAGATTCTGTACTTTCTGTCTCCCTCTGGCTGGGAGGAGATGAGGGTTGGTGGTGGGTGGCTTGGGTGGGTGTCTCCAAGTCCCTCTACTGGCCTTTTCTTTCTGTGCTGGGTTTGATTTTATTTCCCTGACCCCCCCCATACACTACCAACTAATGAGCCCCAATCTCTCTCTTTCTTTATACTTTCACCAAAATACACAATTCCCATATTTACAAGCTGACAGTCCACAAGTGTATACACTGTTACAGTCACCAATAAAATAAACATAGACATCCCTGTATTCACATATACATATGCAGGCTTTTGCACAGTCCCGGCTCCGTGCCCAGAACACATGCATTCACATTCACACACACTCAGAAGTAAACACGCATTCACGGACACTCGCAGACACATTCATACACACCACTGTACATTGGCTTCTAAACAGATTCACACATTGGATTCTAAACAGAGACTCACATTTGCCCCCAAGTAAATCCATCTACCCATCTACAAGACCATGAGCTCAGTTACACACTCCCAAAACCTATCCAAAAACCACCCAATTTAAAATTTCACAAATGCTTTTCCTTATCCGTGCCTTTAAAGGAGACTACAAATTCTGAGCCTGGTGTCCAGGCTCAAATATTGTGATGAAGTCCAAAATGGTAGGCCTCAAAAAAGACAAATAGAAGAAAAGCGAAGAATGAACACCCCGGTCCATCCCACCTCTGAAGCGGTTTGGGCAGAGGCCAGAACAACGAGTAGAGGCCTCTTGGCCGGCCCAGTGCAACCTCCTTGTCAGGGTGCTTACAGCTTTGTGCTCAGGCGGCAAGCATTTTCGGTCAGAGTGGTTTTTTTTTAATTTCATTTTAATTTATTCTTTACTTTATGTATTAAAATCTATCCCATTCTAGATTGACAAGGGAGAACCATATGAAACTTTAAAACTGTACAAAAATCAGTCCCGTGAGCAAGAGCCAAGACAGTTTACCAGGCTGGGGTGGCCGGGGTGACCGCAGTGAGCTTGGCGGGGCGTCGGCCAGGGCTTCCTCTGCCTTGTTCAGCCTATTCTTGAGTGCCGCCAACCTAGAATCTTCTGAGGGGCACACACGGGAGGGAAGGAAGAAGGGAAACATAAAATTTAAAAAGAAAATTATTTCGTTTTCTGCATTAGGTAATCAGAAACCCAGCCTAAAATGTAGAGGTTTTGTGGGTTTTTTTTTTTTTTGGAAACCTGGAAAAGCAGAGTGAGTTATTCTTAATTTTTGCAAATCCTTTATTGCTGGACAAACCCCTAAACGGTAGTGTCTTTACACCTAGACCTGCGGTGTTGATTTTTAATATTTATTCGTTTACAAATTCTCGGTTGTTTAAAGAACACTATCTGAAGCCGGAAGGGTTTGAGAAAGGTGGTTGGTTTCCGGAAAAATACCAGAAAAGGCCTCAAAAACCTGCGGCTTCCCCAGTAGCGACCGCAGCAACCCTTTGGAGAGCGCAGGGATTTCTCCTAGGGAACCTGGTTCCCAGAGCGGGCTTTTCGGCGGGCGGGAGAGGCCGAGGTCTGCTTCCTTCCCCAGTTTCTGGGGTGCTGAGGTGGAGAATTTGCTTGTTGGACTAATCAGGTCTGGCTCCCTTCCAGGACACCTTCCCCCCAGAGACAAAAACTAGACCCTGAGGGCCGACCCCCCCCCCCAACACACACCTGCAATGCTGCAAGTCTCACAGGTGGGGGAATCCCACAGACTCTAGGGTTAGGAATGGGGGCGGGTGTTCAGAGCAGGAGAGGGGGTGTAGGAGCTTTCTGTTCGCCACGACGCAGACAGCAGCATCCAACAGGGCTGCTGCTCTTGCCTCACCTTCCCACCTCCTCAGAACAGTCCCATGTGGAAGATTTGGGGGGAATTTTTACTATAAAAGACAGACAGAGCTTTTGAGGAAAATGTGGAGGTTCCAGAGAAAACCCCGGTTCTAGCTGGACCTCTGTGGCTTCTCTACCTTGCATTTTTGCACCCCAAATCTCACCCCGTCTCAGATTGGGGTTTTCCTAAAAAGAGAAGGGGAAGAAAGGAAGATGGCGACCGAGAAAAGGGTTGCTGGTGGAGCAGCCATGAAGAAATGCAATAAATTCCTTGTTGTTTTATGAAAATTTACAACTTTGTGATAGAAGTTTATGAGTGGTTGAATCCAGCGATTGGCCGGCGCCGGTCATGTGGCCGGGCGATCGTGAACATGAACTTTTTATCATTTCCCTGGTGGTTATAATGCAGCATTCTTTTGGACACCACACCTAGGTCGGAGCACTGCCGTCCTTCAGGGCTCCAGCCTCTTGATATTTTTATACCTCAATATCAGTTCGATATAGCAAAAGAGAGAGAGGAAGAGAGAGAGAGAGGGGGGAGAGGAGAGAAGAGTAAGTGAGAGAGGGAAGGCGGGGTGGGAATTACACAAAAGAGAGAACCAAAAATAATTTTGATTCCTAAGTTAATGCGCTCGCTGATCTGGGATTTTCAGTCATCATGAAGGGTAAATGGACAATCGGCCCAGGAATGACGCCTGATACCATTTTTCAAAGCCAGAACTTACTCCATTTTCTATGCAAATGTCAGAAAAGCGAAACAACCTCCCTCTCAAGTCTGAGAGAGGGAAACGACGGCTCTCAGGTTGGGACAATATTATCGGGAAGCTGAAGAAGAAACCGAACGCGCCTTTTCCCCTCCCTCCCCACCCATTTGAATCCGGAGAAGGAAAAAAACCCCAGTTCTGCAAAGGTAAGGGAGATTCTACAATTCTTATTCTTTTGCATCGTTTTTTTGCAGGGGGTGGGGCTTAGGCTTTTCTCCCCCCTCCCCCCATCCCAAGATCGGGTTGAACCCCACCTCTGGGCGCTGCTGGGAGAAGCTTCCCAGGAAATTCTGTGGTAAAGAGAGGGGTGGCTGCTTCCTGGAGGGGGAAGCCGCTGCAGGGAAGATGGGGGGGGGGGGACGGAAAGTGGCCTCTGAGGCCAGTTTTATGCTGCCTTTTTAGCTGGGAGAGAGAATGTGGGGGTGTCTGGGCTGCAGCCTAGCTGGCCAGTCGCTCTGGCCCTGGTGGATTTGTGCTCACCTCCCTCCATCTCTCCCTGGTCGTGGCCTCCCCGAATTGCCCCTGTGCAGTTTTCTTGCCCAGTGTGGGTAATGGCGATTTCCCGGCTGCATTGGCACGAGGGGCGGTGGCGCTGAGGGACGTCCTGGTCTCAGTAGGGCCTGGAATCTCCGCTGAGGCCAGCCGAGGGCAGGGAGGCGGCTAGATTGACAGAAAAAGGACAATTCACAGAGAAATGTTCGCTATCTTCCTTCGGAGACATTTCTGAAATTAAAGGGTTGTGGGTGAAGGAACCCAAAGCGAGGGAGACTCCCCAGGAAGCTAGCCCAAGGAGCGCCCAGGTCTCTTGCCACTCCCGCCGCCCGAGGGAGCCTCGTCTTCAGGGAGAGAGTTTTGTGGTTTTAACGCGGTAGGTTAAAGTCTGTTGGTCTGTGTGTGATCGATTCTGTTACTTGTGTTTTATCGGTATAAGATGTGTGGATTCTGGTGGAGAAAATTGCATATCTGACATGCAAGGATTTCAAACTTTCCTGGATTCAAATGTGGTGGTTGTGAAATGATTTTAGCATGCTGTTTCAGGCTTATACACAAAATAAATTTTGATGTGGGTGTGCGGGGTGGGGGAGGGGGCGAGGAATACAAACCAAAAAGGAAACCTAACTAGAGAATCCAATGGTGTGGGCTAAAAAAGCCTCCGGAGGAGGCTGGGTTCAGAGCTAAGTCCTGCCTCTCACCGCCCAATTTTGTTGCTTAGCTTTCCGGAGGTGGGGGAGGGGGGAGAGCTGCTGAGTACGAGACAGATTCTTAAAGAAGCTGGGGTAGGGTTCAGGCCAGCAGGTGAGGGCTAAGAAATGGGGTGAAGGGTCTCTAGGGAAGCTATCCGCAGAGAACTAAGTCACTTTGGGCACGAAGGACAGGGGACATTGTGAATTACTTTGGTTTGCAGAACAGAGATTGACTGACTGCCTTTCTGTTTTGCTTTTAAGCCTGTGCAGGTCGTTCAGGCTCAGGCTTCTGGTTGTCTAGAATTTTAGGATTTGGGGCAAGTGTGTGGCTACAATGGTCTCCTGAGGTATTAGGAAAAGGAAAGTCAGACACTTGTGGCATAGGACTGGGGCTCCCTGGGGGGGGGGGGGCGCAGATGAACAGGCCTGCCTGGGCTTGTGGAAACACATTGACTTCTTAGCAAAAGGGATTGATCGCTGGCGTCTAGGACTCTTGGACCTTATTCGCGACGGGAAAATCCCCCCCCAAACCCACTCAAAGTAAAGGTCTTTCCCCCTCTCTAGTCTTGGTGGATTATAAATCGTCCCTTAGACAATTTCCTCTGACCCAAATTATGCAGTTTGCTGCCATCTACCGTCCGTTCGGGGACAGGCGGCTTCGGCACAGCCAGCCTCTCGGTACTTCCCCGAGCCCTGCGTGTTTGCTTGGAGCTCGGGCCGCGCGGTTCCGTGGGATTCTGGCCCACGCCGATGCTCTCTGCTTCATCTTAGTCCCCGGATGCAGATTTTAGAAAACGGAATGAGTCTCTTGTCACATCATCCGCAACCTTCTCCCATCTCCTGCAGACCCTGCACTCATCCCAGCCACAAACCTGCAGGCTGGCAGAGGAAGAGGCAGATGTTGAGAGAGGAGTAATACTATAACCCACGGACAGGGGTACTGAGTCAAAGGGTTGAGGGTTCAGCCCCACGACCCTCATCAGCACCTAAGACACGAGACACGACTGGGCCTCTGGAGAGGTGTGAGGCCAAATCTGTTCAAGGTTTATTTAGTTTTCTTCACAGCCAAGCCGGGGGAGGGGGGGCGGCCAAGGGAGGCGCCGACCGGGCAGTTCCACTCGGTTGTTAAAGACAAACCCAGTCTGTATTCTTCCAGTTGGTTTGTGGGTATTGCCAGTTCCTAAGCTGTTGAGTCCGTGGTGAAGGAGTTGAACTGAGTTTTCTGGAAACTGCGGTGACTGCAAGTGAGTGTTGGTCCCTTCCCCCATTCTCGATCGTTTCACGCGAAATCGGCGCAAAAAAAAATGTCTTTGGTGGAAAATCGGGAGTGAGGAGAAACCATTAAAAAAATCAAAACCAAAATCTCTGTAATTTCCGTTCCTGTGGGACCCTTCACACCAGGTTAACGGAACCGCTTTCCCAGAAGGGGGTGTCGAGGGCTGGGTGAGCGCCTCCGCCTCGGCGTTGGAGTCTTGACTCCTGTCTCACCGGTTACTGATTAGCTCGGGCTTTCAAGCTGCAAGAGGAAGCTCTGGCTGCCCCTTTCAAGGTGCGGTGGCCCCCATTCCTGGGCGGGGGCTGCAGGAAATTGCCTGCTGTGCCAGGCTGGCCAAGGTGTTACTAAGGTCTGGCTGTGTAGTGCTGGGGGCACACACCCCCGCCGCTGCCCGGCACCCTAGAGGACTCCAGAGTCTGAGCCTCTCTCTGGAGCAGGTCTTTAAGCCTTTTTCCCCTCTGCTTGGAAAGAGTGACTTTCTGGCGGCTGCACCATCGGGCTTAGTGAGTCGCTCCACGGGAGGCCCCGAGGGATCTAGCAGGAAGATCTGGGGCCCTCCTAAATTTTTTTCTTTTGGGCAATCAGAAGGAAACATAGGGAGGGGAAGTCGAGCTACTATACAGAGGCTTGAAACACTTCGGGGCTCTTAGGGTAAGGGTGAACGGGGGGAGTGGAGTGAAGGCTCACCCACTCCTCCTAGAAGATCAGAGAGGATGCCGCTCATTTGCATAATGGAAATGAGGTCTTTGTACCTCGATTTGGATCAGTCGATTTTAGGGCAGAGTGTTCAAGTAAAGAGCCTCTTTCCAGTCTGTGGGAGCCACCACATTGCACCACTGGGGCACATTTCGGACAACCAAAATCCAGGGGGAGAAATGGGTTTAAAAGATTTTCAGCAGCCCCACCCCAGGTAAAGTTGGGGATGGGATATGAGAAGGTACTTTCTATTTAAGGAGCTGGGGTGTGTGTGTGTGTGTGTGTGTGTGTGTGCTTTATATCTTAGGGGAAATAGGAAGCCTAGCTATTGTCTCATCTCCTCCTCATGTAGCAGGCAAATGCTATTCCTAAGAACATCGCCTGCTGCAGATTTCACTCCTGAGCTGAACATGACTTCGGCAACGTTTCTCTGGGAGCTGGAATGTGTGTGCTTACCCACGAGACTGCAGACTCAAAGCACAGAAAATCGCAATTATAAATCCTGCCTGTGGGTTAGCAGGACAATCCCTGCGCTGTGTACTGAAGACTTGGGATACATTTACTCCCCTCCCTCGGTGATGGAGAACTGGCTGCTGCCTGCTGTGTATTTACATATTTCCTGGTGGAGACAGACAAACTGAGGTGGATGGAACCACAGACAGATCAGTAGAGATCTGGCTCCAGAAACCAGGCGGTCTCTGGCCCAGCTCTGCCTGCCTGCTCTTTTTCCCAAACAAACGGATCAGATGAATAAACGCTCATAAATACCTCTGGGCTTAGATAAGAGCGATGAGGCGCTATTTCCTTTCATGCCCGACTCCAGGCGCCCTGGCCCTGCCCATAGTGGCTCCATCTCCAGACAGGCAACCTGCAGAGGTGAGGTTAATTTGAGGGCTGCTACTTTAAAGAATAAAGCAATAATTTCCCTGCTTCTACCACAGGGGAAGGCCTCCTCTTTCACCTCCTCTTACCTTTTTTCTTTTTAAACATGGGCCGTCTTTAACATACCATCTTTCCTATGCTGAGGGCATTGTGACCTGGGAGAAGGGCTGAGGCCCAAGGCCCAGTCTCAGTGGCAAGATTGGGGGAGGGGTAAATATTCTTCTGCATCTTGTTCCCTTGCTGAAACAGCCCGGTACTCCTTTCTCAGTATAGGCCCAGCCATTTCTAGGTTGGAGTATTTCTGCTTTCTTCATCATTAGAAGGTTTGAGATCTTTTTTAAAAACCCACCTCCCCCCCCCCATGTTTAAGGCTAAAGAGAGAGACACCCAGGGATGGTCATTGTGCCACAAAGGGGCAGCCTAGCAGTTGCTTTGAGTTCAAAGAGCTTCAGAGGCCACTTTGCAGCCAAATAAATCCTCACTTTTGATCACCCACCCTCAGCCCTTTCCTGTTATCAGTGGGCAGAAGTGGACCACAAAAAGGAGCCCAAAAGAACAAGGCAGAGGTGGGTCAGCCTGGCCTGACTCCAGACATCATTCTTACACCCATTCCCCCTATGTTCGGGTTGTCTGACCTGTGTGTGCACATTGGACTGTCAGAAATACAGTGTGCGCCCTAGCTTGGGGGTCTGTGTTCATTTTATCTGGGTGAGAGAAGAGAGTGAGAGAGTAGATGCCCAAGTTTTCAGGGCAGCAAAGCAGGTGAAACAAACAGGAGGCATGGGAGGGGACAGGAGAGTGGCTATGATGAAAGCTAGAGTGGGCATGCCAGGTGAAGACTGGAAGATGGTTCCTGAGTGCCTAGGTGGACTTAGCAGCCTTCCTTCCTTAAACGAAATTTAAACCAAGTTTTGGAATGGGATTCATAGGGAAAGCAGGACAGAAGAGATGGTTCTTTTCAATGGGCTCTCATCTTCTCCGATGAGGACCTGAAGACTCACTCCCCTCCCCCCCAAATAGGGTTTCTCTGAGTAGCCCTGGCTGTCCTGGTACTCAGTTTGTAGACCAGGCTGGCCTCGAACTTGAAGATCTGCCTGTCTCTGCCTTGCAAGTGATGGGATTAAAGGCATGTGCCAGCCACGACCACCCCTCTACTCACATTTCTAAGAGGGCAATTTCTTCCCCGTATCTAGATTTACTGGGACATCCTCGATTTTAAAGCTCTGTAGCCAGGAACTATTCTTACATCATCTGGGGTGAGGGATAAGGATGGATTGAGTGGAACCAGAGCGAGGGTTGCAGGCAGAACAGAGATGCAGCAAAGTCACCTAGGCCAGGGCTTGCAGCTTTCCCCTCGCTTTAGATCACCAAATTTAGAGATGGTTAGTTTCTTTCTCTGGAGCCCCAATCCCAGTCGAGACTGCAATCAGGCAGGCTGAGCTGTCTTGTACTTAAGGACAGGCTTGTCAGAAGCTACTAGCCTAGTGGAGCAGCCGGAGAGAGAAGCTTGGGCTCACATACCCCTGCCATTTCCTTCTTCTGGGTCTTCTAGGCAGAGGGATTTGGCTTGCCCCCTCTAACCTTGAGAGCTGTGGAGAAGCGGGGGATGTGATGAACCTAAGCTTGCAAGGGGGAGAGACAGACCCGATAAACAGGACAAACGATTTTCCAAACCTGCTAAGGAGGGCGGTTCTTCTTACCCTGTTTCTAAAATGAAGCAAATTAGCGACAACCCCGTTTTCCCTTTACCAGCACAAAACCCTAGAAACAGACCTTCCCCCTTCATTCTCTCTCAACGAGATTCGTGGGCATTTACCCAGACCTCCCTTGAGGGAACGGGCCCGTGCAACGCAGGGGTTAACTTTTCTGAAAACACAATTAACTTTTCCCTATTCCTGCGTGGAGTGGGGGGAGGGGTGTATTTATTTCATCACTGGGGAATGGGGTGATCTCCATCCAAATGTTTGTTCCCTCCTCCCTCAAAAGCACAGACGCTTCTTTCGCAGATCCTACGTAGGTGGAAGAGGGAGAGAGAGAGAGAGAGAGAGAGAGAGAGAGAGAGAGAGAGAGAGAGAGAGAGAGAGAGAGAGAGAGGAGAGAGAGAGAGAGAGAGGGGGGGGGAAAAGGTTGATAGGTTTGTGCGCGGGTCCCTCGTGCGGGCTGCGCTCCTCCTGGGTGCTATTTGACAATTCCTGCCTCTGCCATTGGTCAGTGTTGGATCAGATGGTTGTATTTCCTTCTGGCCCTCACTGGCACCTCGCCATCCCCCCTCAGCTAAAACCCAATCTCGGCTATACTACTAATAGGCGCGGCGCTCGGACTATAAAACACAACAAATCATAAACCCGGCGGAGCAGCAGCAGCCGCGCGCGCCTCCCCTCCCGATGAGTTCCTATTTCGTGAACTCCACCTTCCCCGTCACTCTGGCCAGCGGGCAGGAGTCCTTCCTGGGCCAGCTGCCGCTCTACTCGTCCGGCTATGCGGACCCGCTGCGGCACTACCCCGCGCCCTACGGGCCGGGACCGGGCCAGGACAAGGGCTTTGCGGCGTCCTCCTATTACCCACCAGCCGGCGGCGGTTATGGCCGGGCGGCGCCCTGCGACTACGGGCCGGCGCCTGCCTTCTACCGGGAGAAGGATGCGGCCTGCGCCCTCTCCGGCGCCGACGAGCCGCCCCCATTCCATCCAGAGCCGCGGAAGTCTGACTGCGCACAGGACAAGAGTGTGTTCGGAGAGACCGAGGAGCAGAAGTGCTCCACGCCCGTCTACCCGTGGATGCAACGCATGAATTCATGCAACAGTGAGTGAGACTTCCCGCTGTCCCGCCCGGGGGGGGGGGCATGCAGGAAGGCAGAACTAGCGAGTGTCTCCCCCACCCCCACTCCGTTCCCCCACTGGGAACTAGGTGGGTATCTCAGGAGATGGGGTAAGATTGGGTCCCTGCCTCCAAATCAGTTCTCTTGCCCGCAGAAGTTGCAAAGTTTGCAAAGTCCCAGCTGCACAGTAAGGCAGGGGGAGTAAGTGGGCTCACCGAGTTAGGCCAGAGCTAGGCTTGCTGATCAGTAAGAGGACAGGGGACTCAGTCTCTGGTTTTGCTTTCTTCTGTGTGTTATCCACCTCTCTTATCCGGATCGGCCCGGGTCCCCCCTACCCAAAGATCACTCCATTAAAAACAAGAGTGCGTCATGAAGGGGGGGGGTGGCATGAAGCCGGCAAGGGCAATTTAATGGATCCTGGACTGCATTTCCCTGGGGCTGGAGGGGGGACTGGGGAGCGGGGTGATACCCGGAAAGTGGTGGTAGTCTGGGGGAAAGGAGGCACAAGAGGGGACAGGCGGAGGGAGTGAGAGGGACTAACCGGCGCCTGGGTCTCAGGTTGGATTATTTGTCGGCTTCAAGTCCCAATTGAAGTCCATTAGCGGGACACGAAAGTGAGGAGCTGTTAATGCGGACTATGGATCGATCCACGTCATTATGGATTAAGGGCCAGAATCTATCATTGAGTAGGGTAGGGAAAGCTGGATGGATAGAAAGGAAAGGAAAGATACAGCAAGTCGGAGACATACCTGGACGGCCCCTCCCCCACTAAGCTCAGGTGGGAGTCCAACTACCCCTCCCCTCCCCCACCAAAAGTCTAGACAGAAAGAAAGCACAGGCCTAGGAATCCAGGAGGGAATCTGGAGGGGGCGCTGGAGGAGTGGGAAAGGGGGACTAGGAAATGGGAGAAAGGAAGGAGGACCAGTAAGCATGTTTGAAGACTGAGTGGGGGAGGGGGGCAGTGAGCTTGGTGTGACCTCAGGCCTCAGTTTCTCCTCTCTGCGTAACAGGTTCCTCTTTTGGGCCCAGCGGTCGGCGAGGCCGCCAGACTTACACTCGCTACCAGACCCTGGAACTGGAGAAGGAATTTCACTACAATCGCTACCTGACCCGGCGGCGGCGCATCGAGATCGCGCACGCCCTGTGCCTGACCGAGCGGCAGATCAAGATCTGGTTTCAGAACCGGCGCATGAAGTGGAAAAAGGAGAGCAAACTGCTCAGTGCATCTCAGCTCAGTGCGGAGGAGGAGGAAGAAAAACCAGCCGAGTGAAGGTGCTGCAAAGGGAGGGGGGACGCGAAGGGAGAGGCCTGTGGGGGAACCGAGGGCACCCGAAAGCCCCAGAAGGCTCTGCGGTCGGGGGGAGTCTGGGGACTTGCTCTCCAGCGCAAGACGGGCGGGGCCCAAGCGCTCTCCTGGACGACCCCGTCCGCAGAACTCTTCCTGGGCGCTTGGACGCTGCCCACCCAGCACCCCAGCGCCTCCTCCCTCCCCGAAGAACCCACCTTGGCCTCATCACACTCCCTGGTGAGAACTGAGAATCGGACTCACTTGACGTCTCTGGAAGCAGAGCAGAATGCTCTTGTCCTTGTCGAGTCTCATTTCGTCCATGTCCCCCGTGCACGGTTCAATGGTAGATTCTCTGTCCCCTCAGCAGGGACCTGAAAGACTCCCTACCCCAGACTTGTCTCTCCTACCCCCTCCCCAAAACCACTGGAAGGAGCACATACTACCTAGAATTAAGAAGAGGAGCCTCAGAAGAAAACAAAGTTCTATTTTATTAATTTTCTATGTGTTGTGTTTGTAGTCTTGTCTTAGCTCGGGACGTGAAACACTTCGGTAATAATATTAATATTATTAATAATGATTATGATGATGATGATGATAATAATAAAGACGTGAAAACTCGCAGCTCAGTTACATCCAATTCTTCCCTGCCATTTTTCCCCCTCCATAGCTCCAGCAAACCCTGTCGTCCCTAAGCCTGAACAGCAAAGGTGAGAACCATGGTCGCCTCAGGGCCTTTCCAGGCACCAGACTCAATTCCGGAGTTACAGCTGAGATAAAAGCAGGAATCAAAAGCAGGGGCCAGCCATAGGTCCTCCCAGGCCCCAGCGTTGGTTGTGCCTCCCTCTTGCTAAATTCACAATTGCCTCTCCTATTCAGACTTGAGGGAGAGAAGCCTTTTCCCTCCTCGTTCCTTAAGTTTGCCTAGGTAGTGAGACTCTGGAGGAATGCCACTGGAAGCCTCCTAGCCCAGAGCCCTGGAGAGACAGAGTTGGGCGGGTCTGGGCGCCTCTGCAGCGTTTTTTCTGTCTTCTGCTAGCCAAGGCCCCTGGCCTTTGGCCCGCCCACATGGCTGTCTCTGCCGGCCTTGGCCCTCGGCTCTCTGGCCTATTGCTCCGGAGACTGAAAAATGAGGCCACTGGGCATCTCTCCACAGTTTGTCTACAGGCTTCAGGGTGCCCCTTCCCATATTAAGTAGGAGTTCGATGGCAAGGAAGAGGACGAGAACCCGGGAGCAGGAGGTCGTAAGGTCCCGACTTTATCTGGCTCTTTGGAAACCTGAGGACAGGAGAGCAGGTGATGGGGCATTTGGTCTCATCTTCTATACCCAAAACGGTTTATTCTTTCTCTGCTCCCATTCTCACCCAAGCCGCAAGCTGCAGGCACCATTTTCTTTTCTTCCTCCTCCCTCTCTCCCTTTTTTATTTTTAAAGAAAATAGCCGCCTGGCAGAAGGGGCCCAGCTGCGGAGGTCTCTGGCCGCCCAGCGGGCTCAGCAAGGGGCCCTGGTCTTCTGAACCCCTTCCTAGGAAGGCTGGAAGGCAGATGAGCAAATTCTCCAATTGTTAGCCACCAGCAGAACGAGGCTTTGGATCTGGCCTCCCAATGCGATAGCTGGCATCTGGCGAGATTGTTACGGGCTCTGTTTTAACCCCAAACTCTCACGTACGAGTTGTCACCCAAATCCCCACCGCCTAGGCGGTGGCTGCTCTAGGCTGTCTATCCCTGGCTATGTTCCTCTTCCAGGGTCCCTGTCCAGCTCGGTTCCTAGGCCTATGCTAAGGATGCGAGGTCAGAAGAATTTCAAACTTCCCAGGGGCCCAGGAGAACGAAGAGCTTCTCTGCCTCTTTCCAGCCTCCTGCCCAGCCCTGCGGCTCTCTGGCGTTTTGGACCCGAAACCGAAGCCTCCTCACCAAGAAGGAGGCCTCAGCTAACGGAGATAACTCGTAATAATTGTTTTTTCACACACAACTTCTAACCCTTCCTCCCTCGTTTCCTTACCCAACTTGGGGACTGAGAAAGCCTAAAGAGGGAAGGTCAGGCAACTAAATCCTTGATCATACTATCCAGAGTTAAAATAATAATAGTAATAATAAATGATGATAATAATGTCAGAGAGGAAGACATAAATAGAGAAAATAATCTCACTCTAACAAAGTGGATAAAATACACAAACCTATCTTCCTAAAGGTTCAACCCTGCGTTTGAGCCGCGGGGCCGCCTTTCTTTCTTGCTTGGCGGTTGCACAGAGCCAGTTGGGAGGCTGCCGACGCCGCCATGGCGGCCTGCGGCCCGCGCTCCCGTCAATCGCCGGGAGGTGGCGCGCTCTGCTTAGAGGCCAACGCCAACCTTCTCCCTGTTTCTCCCCCTTCTCTCTTTCTCCCCCCCACCCCCTCGGAGGCTCGCATTGAATCGGCCCTAACGATTCTCGGATCGTCATTATTTGTAACCATAGAGCATGAATTACCTCTTGAGGTCATCAGCGAGAATTTACGACTGGTCAACAAAAGCACGTGATTCCCTAACGCCCCCCCATCCCCCCTTCCAACCCCCCCATATTTGGCCGCATACATAGCAAAACGAAGTACAGTGCATCGCTATAATTCATTAATACATCATAAATCGTGAAGCACAGGGTTATAACGACCACGATCCACAAATCAAGCCCTCCAAAATCACCCAAATGAGCTCGTACTTTGTAAACTCCTTCTCGGGGCGTTATCCAAATGGCCCGGACTATCAGTTGCTAAATTATGGCAGTGGCAGCTCTCTGAGCGGCTCTTACAGGGATCCCGCTGCCATGCACACCGGCTCTTACGGCTACAATTACAATGGGATGGATCTCAGCGTCAACCGCTCCTCGGCCTCCTCCAGCCACTTTGGGGCGGTGGGCGAGAGCTCGCGCGCCTTCCCCGCGTCAGCCCAGGAGCCCCGCTTCAGGCAGGCAACGTCCAGCTGCTCCCTGTCCTCGCCCGAGTCCCTGCCCTGCACCAACGGCGACAGCCACGGCGCCAAGCCCGCTGCTTCGTCCCCTTCCGACCAGGCGACCCCAGCCAGCTCCAGCGCCAATTTCACCGAAATAGACGAGGCCAGCGCGTCCTCCGAGCCTGAGGAAGCGGCAAGCCAGCTAAGCAGCCCGAGCCTGACTCGGGCACAGCCAGAGCCCATGGCCACCACTACAGCCGCGCCCGAGGGGCAGACTCCACAGATATTCCCCTGGATGAGGAAGCTTCACATCAGCCACGGTAATTCTCCATATCTTTTTTGTCCTCTTCGTATCCCTGCCCTGTGCTGGGGGTGAGGGGGGGGTCTGTGAGGAAAGCTTGACTTTGCCTCAAATATAGATTCACCCCCCCAAGAGGGAGAACTGTTCAAAGGGGTCCCCACAGCTCCATGAACAGAGCCAAACAGGGTCTTTTGCTGGGGGTGGGCATTTTTCTAAAAACAATTTGTTGCCGGGCTCAGTTTAGGTTTTATTTACCCAGCTAGTCACCGGCTTTGGGTTGAAAGATGGGATTTGTGTATTGTAGGGAGGGGTCCTGTTTATTCCTGAAATTTTGAGATGCAGCTAGCAAGGAAGAAATGAGCTGTAAACGGAGCTTTCTAGGGCAAAAGTGCAGCGGCTCTCCTCCCTTCCGGGGCTAAAGGCCGCCTGAACCCAGCCTAGGGTGAGGCACTGGGAAGGAGCAAGAGACAAAGCCGGGAGCATTCGCTAGCACCAGAAGTGGGGGCTGCTGGAGAAGGGGGGGATGAAGAAATAGAGGCTGGATGCGGGCAACTGGAGTAAGGAGGATTGGAGCTGCGGTGAGCAGGGTGCTGGGGACGCCTGGGTCCTGCTCCCCGCCCCCTCCCACTCAGTGCCCCCTCCTTTAACCGGAATAACGTTGCCTCCGGGCTCTTCTCTAACTGCTCTAGATATGACTGGGCCAGACGGGAAAAGGGCCCGGACCGCCTATACTCGCTACCAGACCCTGGAGCTGGAGAAGGAATTCCACTTCAATCGCTACCTGACCAGGCGGCGACGCATCGAGATCGCCCACGCGCTCTGCCTGTCCGAGCGTCAGATCAAAATCTGGTTCCAGAACCGTCGCATGAAGTGGAAGAAAGACAACAAACTGAAAAGTATGAGCCTGGCTACAGCCGGCAGCGCCTTCCAACCATGAGCCCATCCGGAGGAGCCCTGGGCGGCCCAAGAGCCCGCACCACCCCCAGCCCGACCCTTCCAGTCCTCCCTGCTCCGCCGCTGCCCGCTGGGAACCTGTTCCCACGAGCCTGTCTCGCCCTAGCCTTGTGTTACAATTTTTCGTTTGGTCTTAGGTCTTCCCATGGCTCCCTCTCTCCTGGACTGGTTATCTTGTTATTATTGTTAATAATTATAATAATTATTATTTCCCCTCCATGCTCCCCACCTCCCTCGGCTCGCCCCCAATTGCCAGTGTTTCTGAGTGTCCTCGTGTCTGTGGGTGCACCCCTTTTCCCAGGAAAAAGAAAAGAAAAAGAAATTCGCATGTTTAATGTGACTTCCCTTCCCTGTGTGTGTTCTAACTTATTTATAAAAAGGATAATGGCTGTATTTTGAGTTTCAGCTGGAAACTTCCATAAGGGGCAGCAGTTGAGGCAGTGCTGGGCCCAGCTGAGCTGGCCTGAGAAATGGAGTCTATGATTGTGTCTCTTTTCACCCACTTCATCCTTCTTCAGCTCCCACTCCCTAGGCCCAGGACTCCGGCTTGTTCCTGGGGTGGGAAGGGGCCAGGGAAGGACCAAAGCGTGGATGTTGAGAAGAGGAAAGGAAAGGAGTAAGCGATAAGCGCCCGCCCGCTGCCTGGTAGGCCCCACAAGGCCTGGCCTGGGAGTGTATGGAATCAGAAATAAGCCTCGGTGTAAAATGTCTTGTGATTTTTCTCTGTGAATCTGTGGGCCTGGCCAGAAGGCCCAAAGCTTGTAACTATGGGGCTAGTCTGGGTCAGGCCAACCACTTCCTTACCCATTTCGCTTCTGAGACCATTTGTAGCCAGCGAGGGGATGCTGTGTGTGGGATCTGTCTTTGCCAGGCCCGTCTCAGTGATTAGCTTTTGGTATGTCTGTAGCTTTCCTTGAAGTCAAATAAATGTTTCCCCCACTCCATTGCCTTCCCCTTGTCTTTTCTCCGAGGGTCTGCCTCTTTCACCACTGGGCACAAGCTATCCTGAGACCATCTCCCATAAATCTAGGGCACAGGGGAGGGGAAGGAGGATGTCTTCCAGAAACCCCTTGAAGCCACCTAGGTTGGGCCAGGAGACAGGCCTTCCTGCCTGGGGTGGTGAGAGGCCCAGGAACTTCATATGGGCCTTAGCTGGACTCCATCCTGACTTCCCTCCAGGTGACTTGCAAAGCCTCTGAAAAAAATGCTCCAGGAAGAGTTATTTGGGCCTAAGTCCTGAGCAAGAAGACTCCTGGTATTTTGAGACTGGTAAAGGCCTGCCCAGATGCCCAGTCTCCTGTTCCAAACCCCAGCTAAGCTCTGCTACCCACTAAAGAAAAACAAAACCAAACCAAACCAAACAAAAAACCAAACCACAATTCAATTTCAAAGATTTCCTGTCTCACTTGGCCTTCTCTGCACTTTTCAAGGGGTCCTCCTCTCC